CGGTAGTGTTTCGATCCGGATAAAACCTCAAATATTTTAACGTGGGATTATGATTAAAAAGGTTACAAATTTCGGCTTTGAGTGGACTATAATTTCGGCCAGAATTAAAATAATATTATTCCATAAATTTTTATTAATTTTGGTGGTCCCAGCCTAAATTAACCGAGCCGGTATCCGGATAAAAACCGGATAAAACCGCTACTGATCGAAACTCTAGCTCACGGTTAAAAGAGCTGATTAGGTTATGATAGAATTTTTTGTAAAGACGTCTTGCTAAGAATTAAATAAATTTTGTACGTAGGTAGCGTGAAATTGATATTTTTTGTCTATTGTTTTACGGCTATCACGGAATATATTATTCCTGTCTCTTATACACATCTAGATGTGTATAAGAGACAGATATTATATTAAAAAAAAAAGTTTTGTACCATTTTTTTTCAATACTTTAATAAAAATAGTCCTGAAAATTTTCAGGTTTCAGGTCAGGTCAGGTCAAACAGACAACCTGATATAACCTGACCTGACCTGACCTGACCTGAAAAAAAATTTCAGGTCAGGTTTATCAATTAACCTGACCTGACCTGACCCATTCGGAGCTCTAAGGCGAACCAACTGGTGTCATCAAGGTAACCCACCACTGACGATGAGTAATCTATCTGTAGGTCTGTATCCGGTTGGTATATATTATTAATTTTTTTGATACGGGTAATATGTAAATTCTCCGTTAATTGTGACAAGTGTGAAAACATGGGATCATAATAAATAATCCATAATATCGGACTAATGACTTCGCCTTGGTCTATGCCTTGAATTACATCATAGTCAGCGGATAAGCCAAAAGGTAATATAACATTATTTTTCCGATCACTAAATAAGAATATTAAAAGAGTAGTGATTTTATCGGGAAAGTGGAGGCGTTCTAAAGCTAATTTCAATAGAGATAAATTAACTCTATCATAAGCCTTGCTAAGGTCTTGTAAACCAATCCAAAGTTGTTTTTTGTCCTTATAAGCAGATTCAATTATATGTTGGATAACTTGTAATGGTTGTAACGTTGATTGTCCCGTCAAACCTGCCTGATTGTTTTCATTAATCAGGTTGTACATCGTAAGCGTAGTGTTAATTCTTTGTGTCAAAATTTTAACAAATAGTTTTTGGAACGTTTCCAACAAGACTATAGGTCGTGTGTTTTCTATTTTGCAGTCCCAAGCCTTCGGTTTGGGTATAGGGAAGAGAAATGCATGTAACCAATCCCGTGGATAAATTTGGACCTGCATAATATAATTAAAAAATTGTTTAATATATTCTCTGAAATCTTGATGTGTATGTTTGATATCTTCGTAAGTAATGCCAGAGATGTTTGCAGCTTTATTATTTGGAAGTGATGAAATGACTTGGGAAAGTTCTTCAATTGAGAAATCCTCCGATAATGAGTTCATATGTTTACAATCACGATTATTGATAGGTTCGTAAGTTGATCTCCAATATAACGGGAGGTCTTGAATTGACTTATACTTTTTAACGTTATTAATTTCGTTAAGGTCTTTACCTAAACGTTGAAAATGTAAATTACTCTGTTCTGCTATAATATGTGGATTATTGGTAAATTGAAATTGATTAGTTTGTTGATCGTAATAATGTAAACGATCTAAGGTTATTTTTTGAGGTTTACGTTCAAGGATACTATTAATCATCCTTTTTTGATCGTGGACTAAATTATTATTCCTATCGTTAATATATTTATTAATATTATTGATAGTCCATAAATCTTCTTCTTTTTTATGTAACACAATGATTACTCTTAAAAGGCTTTGTAAATCTTTTTTGACATCGGATATATTATCTATTGTCAAATTAACTGGTAACCAAATAGTACGTTTGGCATTGAAGTGAACGTCTATGATCAAAATTTGTTGTCGTAATATGCCCCAAGGTTTCCAGTAGTCTTTCCATTTATCGTGGTCACCTTGTATTCTATTAATTTTGGTATTAGAGAATTTTCGTAAAATCGTACGAAGTGTAAGTATTTTGTTATTATTTTGTCTTAAATAAAGGGGACGATCATGTTTCGTGTATTTCTTATATTCGGAAAAGGGAATACATTTTTTTTTAGTTTGGTTAATAATATCTTTGATATTAGACCAATAGAATTCAATTTGTTGTTCCAGTGTTTTGTCCGGTGAAGTTGGATTATTGATTTGTTGACGATATATAATACCGTTGGTAAGTTTGTAATTAGACCAAGATTCTGTGGTCATAGAACTGTATTTGTAGCGAATTTGAGGATTAGTATTAGGTTTGTACGTGGGTGATTTTTCTAAGCTTTTCCTAGAGCTATTAGATTTATTTCTAAAATAATCTTGAGTCAAGTAACAACTTAGAGCCTTATGATCTGTAGTAAAGAGGTCTTCAGAAACGCTATGAGTATAAGCATAAAAACTATATTGAAGAATGTTGGATGAAGTGAATATATAATCAATACGAGATTGTATATCTGGTCCATCGTGTGCATAAGGTCTCACGTCAGGATTTTTTAAAAATGGGAAATCTTAACGAAGTCATGTGATCAAAATGATCTACATAATTAAAAAGGGAGATGCAGGCGCGAAAAAAAACTATTCCTAAATGATTATGCCAATATAGGAAAATTACGGTATTTTTCAATTGTATTATAAAAAAAAATTTTTTTATAATTCTATGTAAATCCTATGTAAACTTTCCAAGTGTGGAAAAGAGTTACACAGTATACGTAACGCTCACGGTAGTGTTTCGATCCGGATAAAACCTCAAATATTTTAACGTGGGATTATGATTAAAAAGGTTACAAATTTCGGCTTTGAGTGGACTATAATTTCGGCCAGAATTAAAATAATATTATTCCATAAATTTTTATTAATTTTGGTGGTCCCAGCCTAAATTAACCGAGCCGGTATCCGGATAAAAACCGGATAAAACCGCTACTGATCGAAACTCTAGCTCACGGTTAAAAGAGCTGATTAGGTTATGATAGAATTTTTTGTAAAGACGTCTTGCTAAGAATTAAATAAATTTTGTACGTAGGTAGCGTGAAATTGATATTTTTTGTCTATTGTTTTACGGCTATCACGGAATATATTATTCCTAGTCCGGGATCATCATTTCCATTTATTACCAATCCCTGCAACGTTTGACAAAATGGGTCCCTTAATAAGGAAATAAATATTAACTAATTACAGTTACGTTCCCTGATTTTTTCCAAAATTTCATATTCACGAATAGGGTTTTAGCGTCAATCATCATTGTGAGAATGGTAGGAGGCGTTTGGTATAACCGTTAAGGTTAATAAATCACATTGCATATCGTATATGTAGCATTTTATAGGTTTTCTAAAATATACGTTAATGTAACTTCTTCTTTCGCAACTAATAAAAGTTCTATTATTATTTTTTTTAAAATCACTTTTATTTTAAAATTTAAGTTAGACTGAATAGACAAAATTAAATATAGGTTGGATAGAAAATATCCCAATTCCGATGCAAAGGCAGAAGTCAAAAGAATAGGACCTAAACAAGGTTTAAAAGTAATGGGAGATAATTTACTTTCACATTTTATGAAGGGTCGACCCTTGCCAGCTTTTCTCAATAATGTAATAAACAATAGCATAATTGAAAACAATGTTACTTTAGAAGGTCCCTTATCTTTAAAAAGGTTCGTTAATTTGGAATCGTTGGATATCAGTGGCCACAAAATTACTAAATTAGATGTATCCGATTGCCCGCATATCCGTGAATTACATTGTTCCAGAAATCAACTTACCAATATAGATATATCTAATAACCGACAAATTGAAACCATTTAACTAATTTAGATTTTACTGGATTAAATAGAATTGAAAAAATTTTTTGTTGTGGGCTTTTGGCTGCAAATTAACAAGTTTAGAATTTTTAAAAACTCTAAATCCGGTCAGGTTGGTCACTCTCCGCATGAACAACAACAAATTTCCTGCCCAAGATCTAAGTTGTTTTACTCCCTTTATTAATTTAGAGAGATTATGTATCGTTAACAATCCTTTTTATGGTTCTTTAAAGCCATTAAGGGATTTCACCTATTTAAAGGAAATAGGTATCGCTAATACTGACGTTGATAGTGGTTTGGAGTATTTGCCTGAAAATTTTTTCAATTTCAATGCCACCGCTTCTGATTTGGGTTTGACGGGAGCTTACTTTAAAAGAAAACTTTATTGTACGGGAAACTTGCTGAACAATTAAAAGATTACAAAATAGAAAATGATCCTCTTAGAAATTATGACTGGCAAGCTTGGAAGAGAGATAATCAAAAATTACAAAGCTAGAGAGCAAGCAAAACAAGAAGAATTAATCGAGATAGTGGAATGGGATATATTAGCCAGAGAAACTAAAGATTATATGAAAAAAACTCCGGTGTGATATTTATCAAAAAACCCACAATAGTTGACGAGATGAAATGTCATTTAGAATTTAAATTAAAAGTTTTAATTTTTTGCTTGATTTTATCATTTTTATGTGGATTAATAAAAATATAGTTTAAACATGATCGGAACTTAGCCACGCATGACATTTCTATATTAGCTAACTGCAAACTATACCTACTTACTTTTGTCATTTTTTTTTATTCTTCGCTAGCGGACTAACAAACTATTATCACTTTTAAATTTCTAAATTTATTTCACAGTTTTTCGTAATTCTACTGAATGATCAAGCGGTGAGATATATACAGTAATCTATCTCTACTTGTAGTGTAGATGTCTTCGGTAAAGTACAGGGATAAAACATCAACCTGTGGCTACGAATTAGTGATGGCTGTGATGCACAAATCAGAAAAAAAGATAAAACTACCATGAAATTTATTAGAACTTAAATGCTTCATTTACCCTCAATTTTTTCTAATTCATTATAATGATGACATTTAGTGGTAAGAAAAAAAATTTGACGCTGATTCCGGTGATGGATATTTATTTCTTACTAACACCTTTAATTTTAATCTTATTATACAATTAGGAAACAAGCTTTTTTGGAAATATAAACTGGAAGATTCACTTGTATAATTTTTTTTTTTTGGTGACGGGTGATTTTTTTAGGGCCTAATCCCTGTTGCTTTAGCGTTATGAGCTCAAGGGGATGGAGCAAACTTAATAATGGCTTTAGATTTGTACTCACTGTTTTTCTATACGTGCCATGTATCCCGTGACCTTATAACAAAAATTTATGTAAAAAAATTTAATAAGTATCTTTAAAAATAAAGGTGCAGTGGTTTGTTTTGCTTGTTCTACAAGTTTATTTAAAAGCGTCAAAGATGATTTCGAATGTCATTTTTGATTTATTTGATAAGTTTTTTTTTTCTTGTTTTTTTTTTCATTAAATTTAATTCAGGTCAACGTTAATGATTGGCTCTTCTCTTTGATACAGCAAAAGAACTAACGGAAACAGCAGTACCCTAGTTAAGAGAATGGATTTGCTTATTTCTTACTCCTTAAAATTTTTGGGTGAATGCTAATAGGGTTGTCATACAGATAAACCTTATAATGTCGTACTTCCTTTAAAAGGAATATTTCCTACGAAAAAAAAAAAATTTTTTCTTCTCCTTTCTTTAAACTTACCATTCTAAACTCTGGAGAAAAACAAGTTTATTCCCTTTTACAGCACAAACTGATAGACTCATCCGTCTTCGTAAAGCATTTTATATACGAATTAAATGCTTTTTTTCTGCGTGTAAAGCAGATTCTTTAATTCAGTTGTATGAGTTGGTTGCAAACGTTTCCAAAATTACCTATTCGTCCTATCGTAGCAATATTGTTATTTCCTCCACGTTCAGATTGTTGTGATTATTGGGCAGCTTTTCAAGAGAGTTGTTCGAAATGGGAAGAACTTTTCTGAGTTTATTTTATTCTTTTTGTTCACGGTTTTCACATAACTTTTCTTGAAGATACCAAGTTGTTTGAAAATTGAAAATTTCTTTATAAGGGGAGTAAGAGAATAATGGTGATTCTTTTTTTCTAAAGAAATATATTTTTAACAGGCAAGAATTTAAGTGTTAGTTAAAAAAAATTGGTTTTTAGTAAAAAAGGGTATTTCTAATATTGTTTTTTTTAAGATGAGAACTGAATAAAAAGAAAAAAATTCTTGTAGTTTCTTTTTTTTCATATAAAAAGGAACCAATGGAAAAGAAATTTGAAAGAGAAGAAGTATTAAAAACCCTATCAATTTCAAGAAAAAAAAAAAGTAAGATAAAATCAAAAAAAAAAAAATCGCTAAAGAAAAAAAATTTTTTTTTTTTTTTTTTTCGTTGTTAAAATATTTGAGTAACCTCCAAGGAGAACTATTATATATAATTTTTTTTTTCTGATCCTCCATGTTTGTTTTTTTCAAATTACTTCAGGTAGTAAAAAGAAATTTTTTTGAAGTACCTATATCGTCATAAGTCATTACAAGCCACTGATCAAGAAGAGTCTATTCTATTATTAGCCCATAAAGTATATATGTCTGATATACTCTCAAACTTTCTCAAATTATCTCAAACTTATTTTCTCTAAAAATTTCTTTAAAAAAAAAAATTCATTATATACTTACAAATTATCTTCAAAATAAAAATTTCATTGAATTGCATATTCCTAGGAAAGACTTTTATTTCTTGTTCTTTTATTGTTCACGTTTGTAGTTGCTTTAAGAAAACCGAACGTTAACTAATATTCGTTAACTAAAAATAAAAAAAAAATTCGAAATTACCTTCGGCGTCCTGGATCTACAAAAAAACCGAACGTTATTTAACGTTCGTCAAAAACAAAATTTCAAAATTAAAGATCTCAAGTTTCTTATTTGGAATAAGAAAAAAGAAATGTTACACTTTAATGATCCTGGAAAGTTTATCATCGCTCTCTGTGATAAACTTAAAGACTTTACTAAAGAACTAATTAAAAGTAAAGGCGTAGAGTTGATACCTACTCACCTCACTTTCTTTTCGGGTAAAGATGCAATAAATAAAAGTCTCATTATCGTACAAGAGCCAAACGCTGCTGGCAAGTGTCTTCCAATGGTTTACCTCTTGAACAAGTAATATACTTTGTCGTTAATAATATCGAATATACCCCTTGACTGCCATTACAACCATTAGAAGAACTCGGGAGAAAAAGGAAAGCAACAGAAAAAAGTAAGAAATATGGGCGCTATACGGCGCGCGGGCCTCTGGAAAATTTACATCAGAGTTACGGACCAATTGGCATATAGTAAGTTTTTATTCTCATTTACCAGATTTGCAATTTAGTATAACTGTTGCTTATACTTGAAACAGTATAACGTTGAGTTGGTTAATATACAAAATGAAGAAAATTCTGGATAACATTTGACAATTCTCTTATCAGTTATGTTCCCCAATATTTCAAAAATAATATTAAATCTGGTAGTAAATTCGCTCAATTGTTTCTGAAAAGTAAGTGGGAAGAAAAGGTTGTTATAGAAAGGTGAAATAATTTTTTTTTGTAAAAGGAAAAATTTGACTAAAAAGCGAAATAAAAACAAAAAAATAATATTGGTTTTATGGAAAAGAAAAATGGATTTGTGGCAAAAAAAAAGCAAAAAAAAATTGACAGCTTTGTTTAGACAACATTTATTTACATCATTGCTTACCTGCTATTAGTTGTAAATAATGCATGAGCTTGCATAATTACTGAAAGATATGATTTAATAAATAGAATCTTAAAAAAGTAAAAGTAAATAAATAAATAAAAAATAAAATAAATAAATAAATAAAATAAAATAAATAAATAAATAAATAAAATAAATAAATAAATAAACAAACAAATAAATAATTTATATTTATATAGTTAATAAAAAAAAACTTTTTTTTTAATAAAAAGAAAGAAATTTTTTTTTTTCCGCGTGTCAAAAATTATCCATTCGTTCATTTAATCGAATTAAATATTACAATACAATATCAATCTAAACCATTTTCGCATTCACAACAATTCGAATCCACAATGTATTCTTAAAAAATTTTTTTTCAATTAACATGGTATCTGATATAGGCATTGTGGTAGATCCTAAAACAAATTAAGAAAATTTTCTCTCGAGTATTTCTTTTTTTTTTTCCAAATCCAACATTAATTTTCAATAAACAACAATGAAAAATCATCCATTATTTTTCATCCATTGTAAAAAAACTCCGGAAATGTATCTCTATACAGCTTTCAATAGATTCATTATTACTATAAATACTAATAAAGATAATAAGAACAACAGTGTTACAATGGTATGTATTAAAATCAATGATCGTCATAGAAAATTATTAAATGCGCGTTTACAAGCACTAGTATTTTCATTGAAGAAATTATATAAATAAGAGCCGAATTTTACTTTATTGTTTGGTATGACAGGAAATAAATCTTTGAGGTGTGTGGCGTTTTATGATGCTTATGATAACACAATTTTTATTTTAATGTCAAAAATTGGAATATTTATTTATTTGGTTATAATGTTATAATGAATCATACACACTAATTACTATTCTTACTGTACTGCACATACTATAAATATATTAAAAAGCAAATAGTCGATTATTATTTACTTTAAATGGCCGTGCATTTTCTGAGACGATTACCGTACATTAATCATAAAATCTCTTTTTTTTTGTTTCAAAGACAAAAAATCTTTTTGCATGCATCATTCACTTTTGGTTAAATATATAGTACAGTATGTAAATAAGGTATACGACAATCCAAATTATAAAGTTTTAAACAATGAAAAGAAAGTCTTGTTACAAATATAAATAAAATATGTTTTTTTCCTTTTCGTATTAATATTCATTATCATTACATCACAAAGTATTAGCAATAGCGAACAAATTTGGGCTAAAAGAAAATAAAGCCTTATAAAGCAAGTGTAACAAAGTTAAAGATCAATTATATAGATGGCAGTAGACATTTATTACGTAATATCCAATTGTTATAAGTCTAATCCCACCCCACATAATATATAAAACCTTATGTTACACTTTATATATTAAGACCTTTCTTTACCCGCCCCCTAAAATATTATGTAATAAAATGTCATTGTCCTTATCCACCATCATATTTAGTGTATATTGTGTACACACAATTTTGCGGGTGCATTTTTTGTGTGCCACAAAAAAATTTTTACTTCTAAAGAAAAGATAAATTTTTTTTTTCATAACATGATATTCATTGAATTCATTATTTTTTTCCTGTTTATTTTTATTTTAAGTTTAATCTAATTTGAATGTTGACATTTTTTGTACTCTCAATCTTCAAAAATCTGCAATGTCAATTAACTTGTTTATCATAAAAAGATTGTTTTTTATTACAAATTTTTTAATTTTTTTTTTCTTTTAACAAAACAAATTATACTTTAGTAATTAATTATTTAAATTAAACACTAAAAAAAAATGCTTTTTTTTAAAATAAAATTAATACAAACGCCAATAATAATGGCAGGCCTTTTATGAAAGCTCATTATTGGCCACGAAATGGATAAATACCGTCACCTCCTTCATCTCGTAATTTCTCTAAACAACAAAATCAATAAAACTCTATCTTCTAGACAACTGTTTCAAAGATCGAAGAAAAAAACATTCACTACACATAATAACTCTATATAATAACTTAAAAATACCTTTCTTTTTCGTCTTTCACTCTTTATATTCTACTTATTCAAATCATTTCTTCTTCTTTCCCGTATTAAGGATTCTATATAAGAAAAAACATACTTTTTATAATGGATCACCATTTGAACAAAGTTAGCGAAATTAATAACGGCAATACAAACTACATAATCAGCAATTTTAAAGAGTCTATTTCTTTGAATAATACTTCTTCGGTTCAACCTTACGAGTCACATTATTCTCCTTTTATTCGCGGACGTAGAAATCGACGAGAACTACTAAGAAAAGAAGATGCATTATATTCGTTTATTAGAAGGTTACCTGCGCAAGTTACGAATGATCCATTCGTGAATGATATTTTTAATGGATCATCTTTTTAATAAACTAATATTTCCTTTTCTTCGTATTCAACTGATTTACATTCCTCTTCCAAATGATTTTACTATAACGAACTTCGAACTTTTTTATATTATCATCTACTTGTCGATTTCCAAAAAATAAGAGACACCTATCTGCTGACGTTTTCAACTTAGAAACAGCGATCAATAAACTAAAAATAACCAATAAAAGGATTTTATTAATTTTTCAACAATTTGTACTTTACTATTTATATTACTGCGCTGTTTTCAATAGCACGCCATATTGAAAGCAGCAATAAATAATTAAAGAATTCTTAGAATCTTTAAAATCTTACCAGAATAACGTATTCAATTGTATATATATATATCTATTTATTATTTTCCCGTTTACTTACTATTTACATGAAACCGATATTGTTATTTTTACATTTATCTTATTTACACTAATATTATTACCACTACCAATACCAATAGACTAGAAAAATATTTAGATAACGAGATAGTTCAACCACTTCATTGATATAGTTTGTTTATATAATCTTTTTTTGTTGTCGTTACGTATATAAATTATAATTCGTTTTTTCTAATTTGAGATAATGAGGCTGGCTTCTCATCCATCTATAACTCATTTTTTATGGTTTTACGAAATTAAAAAAATTAAAAGATAAAATAATGTTATAATTTAAATGTCTATTTAAATAATTCGAAATCAGACTGTAAAAAAAAAAATCTCCGTTATATTATATTTTGTACTTACTTTCGTAAAACGTAACGAATCTACGATTTGTGTTTGGAATAGGAACAATTTCAAACATAATTAGTTTATCAGGATTATTTTCAAAATCAACAACTTGTCCCATAACACGCACTGTAATTATTCTTACAAGGTCTCCGTGTATAATTTCATTCAATTTTTTTTTCATCTAAATAAAAAACATATGTAAACAAAATACTTAAATAAAAGTATCACACAATGTTGGCAACACGAACCACGAAAAAGATCAAACGTGAGTAAAAGTAATTTCGGAACTTGATCGTATTTGTTCTGAAAACAATAACGAATCGAATAAATAGTTCGGAACCAAATGAAAGTAAAAATACAAAGGAGCTAGAAAATGAACATTATGACTTGGACATAAATTTCGATAAAACATATTGAATCAATAGTTTGGATCCTGAACTCTTAACAAGTTTCGATTATTATGATATAGACTAACCGATTAGATTACTGTATATCTCACGTAAAAACGGATTATCATTTCTATTTTTATCTCTTCGTTTGTATGCTCAAAGAGTGCCGTTGTTATTTTTATAAGTCTACATGTCGGTTGATTTATAGTTGCCAAAGATGCATGTTCAGATAGTGAAGCTAATCCACACATTCATTATTCTCTTTAGTAATTAAGTAATGTGAGTGAAATAGTAACAATGTATTACGAAAGAAATATAAAAATATTACCGTGATTACTGCTACACCGTTCCAAGACAGCAAAAAAATATTAAAAAAATATTATAGGAAACCGTACAAACTCTATTTCTAGAAAACATTTACCGTATGTCAGTATTGGGCTCAGACTGGTCTTCAGAAGCATATTGAAAATGAATGAAAAATTTTCCACGGGTATTATCATTCGCTTTTTATTATATATCATTCATGTTTATAACTTTTCATTCTACAGTCATCACGGCTATAGCTGGAATGTCCTTATAGAAAGACGTCCTAGTGATGAATCTGTTCTATGGCTTATATCGGCGGTTTTGATTACCCTATAATCAAAGTGAATTTTTTGATATTTTTGTTACACAAAGCATAAGGCGTAGTAAGATTGGGGACGAACATTAAAAAATTTTTATTTTTTGTTTTGCTATACAATAATTTGATAAATACTTCTTTTAAGCCAAGAATATAATAAATATGATTCTGATAATATTGATAATAATCGTTATGGGATCTCACTTTGCACAATAATTTTCTGGAATTTTTTTTGTAAAATTGAAAGTATATTATGTTTTACAATCAGTTTGAGTGTAAAGTTCCTATAATGTGTACAATAAAATAAATGTGAATTAGTTAGTATATTAACTTGAAAAATATAAAAAATAGATAACTTTATAAAAATTATCATAAAAAAAAAACAATGTTCATTGAAGTTTTAAAATACTTTTAAAATATTCATAACTATTGTGACTATATAAATTTTCTATTTTACATTTTGTTTTATTAAAGCATACTTACTTTCTAATAATACTCATTAAATTTACTATGCAGGTGAGAAATGGTTTCTTTACTTTATGTTGAATAATTTTAAGTTTCGCCAAATGTAGATTTTTATTCAACCAATTATTTAGTCATATGATAGTCTATCAGGTAATTTTGGTATACATAACTAACAATTTTATGCATTTAATAAAAAAAAAAAAAAATTAGTTGGCCCCGCTGGTGACACGTTTTCTTTATGACAACTATCATTGGTCATATTATGATTATACTTATTAATAAATGCATGATCATTTAATTAGTATATATAAATTAATGATTTTCGAATAGATATATAATCTGGCCGAAATTTTCTTAATTCTGGACAAAATCATAATTCCGGCCTAAATTTGATTAAAATGCCGTATAATAGATTTTTATAATTTTATTCCTACACGTGACAATTAGCCAATCATTATAAAAGTAATGCCGATCATTTCAGGTCAAAATTATTGCGCGTCACTAGCGCCGAACCTGAATAAAAAATCGATTATCGTGGCAAAATTTGGAACAAAACAGATAATAAAAAAATTTGGGGGTCATGCATTATTGTAATGTACACCATGTTTGAATTATTTAATTGTTTGATCACACGGCTTTAAAACAATTGTCACCTCTCATTTCACGCCTCTGATTTCCATTTTTACTATTTATTATTTGGTCACACCTTATTTGTCACATTGTTACTATGTGACAGCATGACCGAAATTAGTAGAGACAATGACTATTTATCATACAAACATTGGTAGAATAATCTTATGCACACAATATGTAAACATTATGCTTCAAATAATTGAAACATTTAAATGATTGCAAACACGCAATTGCTCCTGCTCAATAACTAGTCATAATTTGTCATGGTCTACTTGCTATTTTTTCTAGTTCTTTTATTTCAAAAAATACAATATGTTAAAGCGGGTCCTAGTGACGAATACTCATCCTACCAACGATGTATTTGATGCAGTAGTAACAGCTTTGTACCAATCTTTTTGTCAATTTCTTTTGGAGAACAATACATGAGAACAAATGCGAAAATTGACATGGCGTTGTTCCTGCTAAACTCTCTTGGTATTCCAATATCCATCATCATATACACATTTTCATCCTTAATCTGGAATTAAAATTTTTGATTGTATCTGTGGTATTCTTAACACTTCCTCTCATCATATATATTTTCCATTTAATTATTCATCATGTATTTGATTTAACTACTGATGGCGGCTCTCTCATTGCAAGTGCTTTCGGGTCTCGTGCTGGCTACATTAATACTTTTCATCATTTCTTAAGTCTGTTGTTTCAAGTTTTATTACTTGCACGCAAATGTCAATATAGACCGATTAGATATCATTCCAACTTTTCTGTTCTCCGGCTTTGGAATTTTATCTGTGGTAGCATTTCTTGTCCTTATAAAAAACAAGAACTCTGCACTGATAGTATTTAATCAGCGTTTCACAGTCCAGTCACTTATGTTCTGCCTGTTCATTTCAAATCATTACTATGCGACAAAATCGATACTTGCAGTTTGGATTCTATTTACTGCCCGTTGTTTTGATAATAGTTCTGTCTTTTAGGTAACCACGTCAAAAAATGTTGATAGTAAAGCTTCTCGCCGGTATTCAGAGTTCCAAAAAATTTATTATGAAAGAACTCACAGCATGAAAAGTGTTTTTATCAGTATGACTTAAAGATAAAAATGGCCGCTCTACCGTTTATTTTATTACACTTCGCAACACCACTTGTCTTGATATATACAAAGTATGTTGGGTATGGGTTTATTGGTCTCTATCTTATAGCATGTTCACTACAATGCATAGAGTCTCGTGGGCTTGTTAAAAACAAAAAAGCAACAGAAAATATCGAAGCTTAAGGGAATCTGAAATTTTACTGTTATCACTTATCAGCAATGAATTTCTTATTTTTATTATTTTTAAGTAGGTAGTATGTTGAAATAGCTTCGAACTAAAAAATTATTATCTTATTAAATTATTATTCATAATAATACAAGACTAGTACTAGAATTGCAACTATTTCTTACTAAATAAGTTGATTATAATATAAAAAAATACGGAATAAAAATTTTCTCACATGTTTATCTTTGACTAAAGATCGAATAAAAAGGGAAAAAAATTGAAAAAGTTGTAAGAGTTGTTTGAACTTTGAATAAATAAATTGAAATCGCCATTTATCGTAATATGTATTTTGCCGATTATGAGTATTGTTAGGATGCGATAGATTTGCCAACAATATTCGAGTCTTGACTTGCATAAATTACGGGTTTTAATCATGTAAATAATGAATTAAATTGAATACGAGATTGAAATTAAATGTCATATGCGTAGAATTGACCAAAATAATCATGTAGATCTTTCCTTTTATAGATAATTCCGGCCGGAATTTATTTCCTTTTTTAGACGCTGACTGGCATTATAATAATTCCGGCCCTGAAAAAATGCGTAGAGCCAATAGTAAGTTTTTTTTTTGGCTGCTATATATATATATAGCTCGGGGTCCTAACTCACCCCGAAAAAAAAATGTTTGATCTTCAATTACCAAAAGTGTGCCATACTTGTAATTTGTTAAATACGAAAGTTTTTCCAAAATCAAACCCGGAGTAAATGTATATGGTACGTGAAAATATTTTGTTGCCATGTAATTAACATATTATAGAATGTAAATCTAAATTTTTCGGTCACATACTTTTCTCTTAGGTCGTAAAAATGAGTGAAGAGTACATGTACGCATTTCTTTAGGGCCGGAATTAAGATAATGTCAGCCAATATCTAATAAGGGTAATAAAAATTTGACCGGAGTTATCCATAAAAGGCGATATCTACGTGACCATTCTATGAATTTTCAGACCTAACCTTTTTTATGTACCTTTCAGTGTCCTAATGAGTGGTGCGTATGCAATGACAATTATTTTACCGACAAACGTTTCAATCGTTTCATCAACAAACATTTCATGACGGGATCATTTTACCGACAGTTATTTCACCGTCGGTTTTGAAATTTATTCTACAGTAATCGTCGGCACGAAATGACCCTGTCGGTATCATTGTCAATGAAATGAAATGATTGCGACCCACTTTAAGCTTAAAAAGAAAAAAGAACTTTCAGGATTATGAATTTGTCAAGATTGAGTTCGAGATCTTCACCTCCAGAATTTGCACTTTGTGTTATAATTATATAATATGCTGAACTCATTAAAAATAAGTAATATTAAAAGTAAAATGATGCCAAAATCCTACATCATAGTATTATCGGGAAAGAAAACTTTTATAAAAGATTACTTAAAATTAGGTTGTAAATGATAATTTTTGCATTTTTTTTAGAATTAGGCCACACAAATTCAATTTTTCGGTTCACGTAACATTGAAATTTAAAATTGACCCGGGGACCCGGGTTTATTGTTTATTAACAAAAAAAGTTTATATATAAAAATCGTGACATCTGATTGGTTGACTTTTAAAGGAGGGGGGTAATTAGGTATTATTTATTTCATGGGGAGTTGGAAATAAATGGGTAATCCCCTGGAGCGTGACTCATTAAATATTAACTATTTTAACTATTTTAAACTAAAATTAGTAATTTCCTGGCTATCTATATGAGACCGGGAAATAACTAAACGAAGATTCCCGGTCATTTATAAACTCAGCTAATCACTCGCAATTTTTAAAAATTAGTATGAAGGTGATCATGAGTGACACTTAGTGCGACAGGGGATTAAAGAATTTATTTTCTCTCCAGAAGTTCTCAGCCACGTGATAAAATTACCGCCAATAAAATCACGTATTGATCACGTGATAAACTTTTTATTTATAAACTTTTTTTTATTGAAATTTCGAAATTGGGTGGCCTTAAACCTAATCTAATAATATTAAGAAAAAATCAATGAAATAATTATCAGTTTGACTTATAAATTAGAATATGAATTATAGTATATATATGGTGGTTAGTTTGGATTATTATATAATTTGTAGAATATAGCCAGATTCATTAATAAATCTTAAGAATCGATCAGCAAATCTGCCCAAATTTTTTTTTAATTTCAATCAATATTTCAATGAAATATTATCTATAAAACTTAGTTATTGAACTTTTATTGCAATTTCATTATTAGGAGTCTCTTAAATCTTATTAGTTATTTAAATAATTAAATATTCAAAGTTATCAAATTTTGTTTTTAAAAAATATGTACCGGTGGTATGTGATGAAGAAATTAAACAATAAAATGTTTTAAATTTTACAATTACATATTCATATTTAAATTTCTTTATTCTAAAATTTATTTCTCTTTTGTCAAAGTCTATTTCCAATTTATTCTATTCTGGAAATCGTTGATGAACATAAGAAATGTTCAAAACAGGCAAAAAGGATGAAGGGTGATAAAATAAAGGGAGTGACATATGTGACAAATTTTAGCTTTTCCTAAAATGGATATATACCATTCCCGCGCATTTAAAAGTGGCGGTGGCACTGATTTATGCTGTATGCTGTTTATACCATCAGGAGTAGTAAATCCGGTTCTGAAACTTGAGTTCGCTCTAATCAGTTTCGATACTTTAAATTTATAACAAAGGTAAATAAAAACTATTAAATTCAGTAATAAATTTCTTAACCATCTCGTCATTTTCGAATATTGCTGACAAAATTTGCAATTTTAAATTATGTTTCACTCACAAATTCTTAAATTAGAAATCCGTATAATCCGTATAATGAAGAACCGGATAGATTTAATAATAATAGTGGAGATATCTAATAATTTTCACAGGGTTTCCCTCCAATCAAATTATTATTTATAATAAATTTAGTGTTAAACTACCTTTTGGAACTATAAAGTTTAATCCTTTTTATATCGATATGTATTTCGGGTCCTAATATAACGAAAAAAAATAAAAGCTATTAACGACATATTACATAACATTAACATATTTGACATTGTTCTGTGAAACAACAATTATTCTTTAATTTTTTCGATTACATTATTGCTTGACTGTATTGAAGTTGTAATATGTAAGTCGTAATTGGTTGTATTTCAAATTAGTGAGATTAATTTGTGATTAAAACATTAATATCGGTCTGATATATGTGTCACAAATTAGTGACTCAAAAGTCTGGCCAAAATTAAATTTGACAATTAAAAAAAACCTAATTCCGGCCGGAATTAAGTTATTGACTTTATTAATATCTTAATGTACTGAAACAATTAGAATTGCAGATTAATATTCAACATTACACCCATTTAAACCGTTACACCAATTACGGCATAAAATTACATTTTTACGGCTTTACGTTACAACCTTTACAACCTGTTACAACTATTACAGCAAGCCACACTATCTGCCTGTATATTACTTTTCCAGAAAGAAATCTAAGAGACACATGACAATAATAAACTTCCATATTATTTATTATTTATGTGAATTTATTTACTTAATTTAATATAAATAAATAATATATTTAAAGTTGAGACCTGAGAGGCAGAAGTCGTGGTCATTTGAGTAGATAAAACAAAAATGGGCATCAGATGATTGATTTATTATTATGGCGTTTTATTTATTTTTTTTTTTTTTGATGATAAGCCGGAGCTGTCGAAATATTACATAAAAATTTTTCCGAATTTTTCCGTATGACTCCGCAAGTTTACATTCAACCTATGCAAATATGACGATGTTATACCTTATCTTTTCGAACATTATAATGTGATTGTGTCAATTGTCGTACCTATTTTGTCAATTTTCCACTTTAAGTTAGTTTTACAGCTATTGTTACCCTTTTTACCATTATTAAAATAATAAATTCTTCTTTGTTTGAAGAAAAAGGTATTTTACCAAATTTTTTTTCCTTTCGGGATTTTTTTTTTTTCCAAAAAATCAAATTTCAATTAAGCAATCATTGACATCGGACGCCACTAATTTTTTTACCGTTTCGATGGTGTATGCATGTAAATGCATGTAATATCCGATAAAACTATTTACGGGTAAAAAAAAAAAATTTTTTGCGTACCAAATAATTAATATTATATAATATTTTATATAATTCATGACGTAAATTTTAATTATTTATTATTTATTAAATCTTAAGTTACAAAAAAAAAATTTTTATAAAAAGATTTGGGTTTGCTTTGAAAGGTTATTCTGGGAGCAAAGATAAGTGGTTAGTCTTTAAAAAATTTAAAAAAATTCTTTTCATGCCTATAAAAAATTTAGGCTGGGCATTTTATTATATTATTGTATATATATATATGTAATTATTTTTTTACCTTACAATCTGTTGTACAACCCTTTTTTATTCTTTTTTTAAAGTAAGGGTAGTAAGGGTATAAGCCGCATGAACATAACATTAAACTATTGGTTCGGGTGTTTTTTTCAAAAGAAAGGAAAAAAGCTTTTTTATGTGGTCATTGCGCCATGCCCTATTGACCCTACGTAATTTTATCCGAATCACTGTTATCATGATGGATAAGATTAATTTACATAATTTACGTAATATTTATTATCATAATCCATAATTTTTTTTTTTACGCAATATGACGTTTCGCCCTGGATTCATTCTTTGGTTTTTTTTTTTTTTTTTTTTATAAACGAAAAATGATTTGTTCATAACAGATAATAAAGTTCTAGGGTTGTAGCAAAGAAAAATTTTTTTTCTTTGAAAAATGTAAATCATATGCACATGTGCTTCACTAATTTTATCCGAAATAGGTTGCTTATTATGGATTAGCATTTAATTAGATTCCGAATATTTATGTACTAGTATAATAATAACATTACAAGTGTGAATTGCAATATAAAAGAAATTCATATTTTAACGCTAACCGCTCTATATTAATTTTGACTGTTTAAATTCCAATGAATATGTTATATTTCTATGAAATATTATCTATTTTTATACTGAAATATAAAAGTTATGACTCGCTTTGATATAATTTCTTTTTTATGATCTGTGTAACTGTAACATAATATGCGTGCATTTATTAAAAGTACAATATGAAAAAAAATTCTTTTTATAACCTTGCATCCCAAGTAAACGAGAGACAACATAAATTCAAAATTTAGGTTATATATATATACTTATTGATTTACGCCTTTCTTTTAGATTAAAAAAAAAATTTAAGATTATGTGGGGGCTCATGCAGCCTAGTAATATATTATATCTGTCTCTTATACACATCTAGATGTGTATAAGAGACAAATATATTTCTTCCTTACATAGAAGAAAAAAATATAATACTTTGTTACATTTCGGACTTTAAAAAAAATAAAAAGAAAGAAATTTCATCTCCATAAAAAAAAAAAATACTTGGGCGTAATATTTATTACGTATTTTTATTTTTTTACGACATGATACAACATTTTTTTTTTTTTAAACTACAAGAAAGTTTATAGTTCGCATGGGCAAAAAAAAAACTTATTATTTTAAAGTTAATAATTAATATACATGCATATATTTACGTTTATAGTATTTTNCTGAAAAAATAATAACTCTTAAATATGATGGTTTAAGTAGTTGATCTGGTATTGCTTCAGTACCATATATTTTAGATATGCTATGTCTCATGGATAGGAAATATTATAACTCTTCTCTTTCTGCTATAAGTGCCAAACTACCTACATCTTTTTTTTTTACAAGAAAGTAAAGAGATTTGTCTAAAAGGCCAGATGTTCATTTACGTATTAGATGATAATCAACCAAAGTATTTTTAAGGACAATTTTCATCAATTTAGGCTCTATTTTTTGGTTACTGTTATAATATGATTCTAAAAATAATTTTTTTTTTTTATTTATTACTAACTAAAGTATTTTTTTATTACTTGGCTAGAAACATCGGGATCGAAAAAAAAAAATTTCATATAAATATAACCCTATTTCAATACTTTTTTAGCAATGATAAAAAAATTCTCTTTTTTTTTTCTGCTTTGATGAGTTTTTTTCTTCTTTTTTGATAGTAATATTCGGTAGTAGTTTTTTAATACTTTTCTCGATTCTTTCAAAACTTTTCATTGGTTTCTTTTTTTATGTAATATATATTAAAAAAAGAAAGAGCCGCAGTATTTTTTTAAAACAAGATTAACAACTTCTTTTGAAGTTTAATAATACTTGAAAGAATAACAAACAATAAAAGCGATCGACTTTTATTTTTTTTTAAAAAAAAAATTCGAATCGTAAAAACTTTATTTTAAGAAAAAAAATTTTTTATTTTATTAAATTAAGAAAAAAAATTTTTTATTTTTATTAAATTAAGAAAAAAACTTTTTTTTATTTTTATTAAATCAAGAAAAAAACTTTTTTTTATTTTTATTAAATCAAGAAAAAAACTTTTTTTATTTTTATTAAATTAAGAAAAAAACTTTTTTTTATTTTTATTATAAGAAAAATTTTTTCTTTTTACTTTAAAAATAAAAACATCTTCCTTGTACAAAATATAATTCTTTTTTTAAAAAGAAAAAAAAATGGAACAACAATCATTCACTAATATTGTTTCCCAATCTGTTGACTATCTCGGACAATCTCATAACTGGACTGATACCGATATTATCTCCTCTTATAAAGAAATTTGCAAACAACTTGACATCTGTAAAGAAAAATTACGTGAAGAACATGAACTACAGAAAGAAGAATCTGCTTTACGCGCAGAAGAAAAACGTTTAATTCGTATGAAGAACACTTTATGGAGACGTTTGGGTTCGTCAATTTGTGTTGAAAAAGGAAACAAACTTGTTTCTTCAAAGAGTTTAAAGTGGTAAGGAGAAATATTTTTTTGTTACTTTTAAGGGGAGGTGGTACATCATTATAAAGTTTATCTGTGTGACCGAACAATATTTTAGCTTCTACGCCAAAAAAATTTTAAGGGATTACAATTTTTTAATTTTCTTATTTTCTTCTATTGCTCCATTAGTTCCTCTTTGTATCGAAGAAATGATATATACTCTGAACAACAAACTCATTCAAAAAAATCATACGTGCCACTATATAATCGTTTTCTTCGTGATCGGCGAATTAGACGAAAAATTAGATATGAAAATATCAATTCGCATGTTACTTTGAATTACTTTAGACAACTACCGCAGCAGACGACAAATCATCTCTTCACAAACCACATATTCAATGGAGTTACTAATTTCTAATATTAGACTCCCTTTCGAATCGAATTTCGATATTCGATTAAATTCAAAATATTTGAAATACGTGATTTTAATGCGATGACAATTGGCAAGACTCTAATATTGTTGGCAAATCCAAATAATCGGCAAACATATCGGCAAATGTATATTTATAAAATCGGCAAAATGCACGTTTATATAACGATAAAGCGGCTTAAATTTGTGCTACAATTTGATGATCACAAACACAACTTCGTACATGCGTTTCTTTCAATGGCGATTTCTTTCAATGACGATTCTTTATGGCGATTCTTATCAATGAAGATTTCTTTCAATGGAGATTTCTTTCAATGACGATTCTTAATGGCGATTTCTGTATTTACCTTTTTTCATTTGAAACAATTGTTTCAAGATATATTCGGTTTATTATTGGCGTATGATAAAAGTTTATTCCATTTTTTTTTTACTCTACTTTTACTAATTCGGATTGCTTGATCCAATTTATCAACAATCAACTTATCGTATATTTTTAGCCTTTTTATTCTTTTTATTGTAAAGAAAATAAGAAAATTCTTTATTTATTCTTTCTTTTTCTCCATAAAAACACCCAGAAAATCTCGGATATAAAACTTACAAAAAAAAAAAAAAAAAAAAAAAAAAATTATGTAACTCTTGAAACAATAGTTATATCTGAATTTATTTTTTTTTATATTAATTAAGTATATATTAGATATATGAAGAAAAAAAAACAAAGTCATTCATTACGCCCACAACGACACAACGATGCAAACATATGCATGTGATTACCAATTAAAATAATACTTTTTTTTTTTTGGAAAAAATAAATTTATTACACATAGTTCGGAACCAATAATTAATCAAAAAAATATTTGTTTTGATTTATAATCTTCTCGCACAAGCATTTTTTTTTATCTTGGCGATGTGTTACAATGATTTCTTCATATGTGATGTGTTCTGGATCTATTTCATTTCGCGTTCACATTTTACACATTACAATACATACATAATAAAAATTCTATTTCTATCCCGTGTTCACCATAATAAGTTTTCTTCCCTGCATATATTATAATAATTCGAGTCGTTATTTTTATGTGAAAATTTGTTTATATCTTGAAATAATCGACCGTTCGGCCGAAAGTCTGAAATAAAGAAAGAAAAAAAAAAATAATAATAATAATAAAGTAGTACCCCTAATTATTTATCTAGACGATTACATTCATTTAAGAAGGGCTTATTTTTATTATTTATATTTATAATTTATTTTATATTTATATAAATACTTCCTTATTTTTTTAAAAAAATCAAATGTTACACAAGTTATATTATTTATTTATTTATTTATTTATTTATTTATTTATTATTTATTATTTTTTTTTAAAAAAAAGAAAGTATGTTTAAATGAAATTGAATTAAGCAATATGAAATAAATTTTAAATTTAATTTAAAAAAAAGATTTAAAAAACATGGGCGTGATTATTAATGAGAGGTCGGGGATTAATATTCTACTTATTAACATGCGGTGAACTTTGCATACATATATGTACTTTATTTTTATTATTCACAAAATATATACTGTATATAATAAATAATATACAATCGTTTCATTCTATCATTATTCTATCGTCAAAATATTATTATTATTAATTACAGCTGATTTCATAATGTACGGAACTCTTAGGAACTCGGAAATATTCGGTAAAGCTTGACATAAAATAAAAATTATATGCTAATTTTGGAGTACTAATAGTACTAACCAGCTGTAAGGCCCGAATCATCCGATCGTTATTCGGGGATTCGGATGAACCGGATGAACCTAGATTTTTTCTAGACTTTAAATTCGAATTCCGTACTACTTTACCATTTCGTGATACAAGTCATTCTTATCGAAAAGAAAAAGGATGACAATATAATGTCCCCCATGATCAAGTAAAAAAAAAACAAGGATGCGGATGCTCATGCGGGTGCCCATATAAGGGTCGATTTCTTGTTAAATTCTTGCCAATTGAACTTTTGTTCCTCATTGTTCTTCGCACATCCCTCATTTCTATCCCCTAAAATTTTTGGGGTAAAATAAAGTTTGTCACACAAATAAACCCCCTTAAAAAAAAAAAAATTCTCCATAAAAACGTGGAATTAATTTATTAATAATTATTATAAACTTAAAAATAATACTTAATACATATAATATATATATATAATCATGAATCAGCTATTTTATTTATTATTTTTTTTTAAAAAAATTTTGACTAAAAATACTAAAAATAAAACATATTAAAACACGACCGAATTAATTAAAGTTTTACAATTCTTGTCATACATTTGAAGATCAATTTTGCTGCAAAGGTAGTAAGTTCCATGACGTAAGGTTTATCATCTTTAATCAACTTTTTCAGGAAACATTTTTTCCTTGTTAATTCGATTAATGAATTCATAAATAAATATATATCTGCATACGTTACATTTGAATTTATTGTAATAATAGTTCGTCATGATTAACTTCTAAAATTAATTTTTACACACGATTTCTCTTTTAAATTGAAAAAAAAATTTTTTTTTTAAAAAATCTCTAAATTTATTTACAAATTTTATTCAAATTAAATTAATTTATCTATTTTTTTTAAAAATTTACCATGACCAAAACAGTTATCGATGATTGGTCAACATTATGTGAAAGTCACATGAATGCATTTATGGGATATACCCGGGACTCGGAATTGCATGCGCAAAATATAGAGATAGTGCACTTAGCTCTAAGTTCTGAACTCGGGACTAGGCTATAAGAGGAAATGCACTTATAGAAGGTGCACTTATGGGTGCTACTATATCTAAAAAAAATTAAATTTTATTTTTTTAAAAGAAAAACGACGGTTCAAAAGTTTACCGAACCCACCTTTTGCAATATATTCAATATCATAAAATCTATCATAAGGTATCCAATTCCAATGCCTCCTTTATACCTTTATGTGTTGATATCTGAGTCAATATCATCATTTCTTCGGCGTAGTATATCTTATGATATACATATAGTTTCGTCATATCTGATTGGCGGGTTGATCAGTATTAACTTTTTTTTATTTAAAAAAATAAAAAATTTTTTTTTTTTGTTATAATGTATATTTTTTTTATAGGCCGGACTTTTTTTGTAGGACATCAGACTTCTTAGGTAAATGGGAGTGAATGAAGGTGAAAGAACATTTCTAATATTCTTTCTTCTTTTTATAGGGACGCACTAGTCCAATCTATGAATTTCTGTTTGACTTTCGAAACTTACTGACCCAAAGCGCAAAACCAAAGCTGATCTAATACCTAAAAAAAAGAAAAAAAATTAAATTTTATTTTCTAAAAGAAGAACAAAGTTTCAAACTTTCGAAACTTACCGATCGATAGTCTGATACCGACCAAACATCACATGATTTAAACACTATCATGTGATTTAATACTAGAGGGTTCTGCGCCTTCCTTAGTAATTCCTAAAAAAGAAAGAAAAATTTTTTTTTTTTTTAAAAAAGTTTCGAAAGGATAAAAAGTTTAAATAACTTTTTAAGCTTAAAAAGATTATCTTTCAGAACATAAATCATAATTTGACTAATCTGATCAGCTGATTCTTCGTGGCTATATCGTGATTTTAACTTACCGATTTTGCCATCACCATCATTTTTTTGGAGATTAATTATTGTACAATTTTTTAAGCTCGAATAAAAATATAGCAAATCATTTATCCATAATTTGGTTGAAGAAACTATCTCAGGTAAAACCTTCAGCCTTCAGGTATTGCATCATCATATCAATGATAATCCGGAAGCTATGGTAGTGCTTAACGGAATCATATCTTCAAGACAAATAGTTTTGCACATGAAATACTTATCCATTAAGAACTTACTAACTATAAATGATAATGTTTAAACTTTGTTACAGTTTTCGGTTACTTGAAGTTTTATTTAATAAAAGCGTTCCGTTAGAGTTTTAAAAAAGAAAAAGTATGAAACATATAATGCTCAATATTTTTGAATTCAGTATTTTCGATCGTAATGATATCACAATCATCACTTGAGCACTTCTTTACTTTTCTGTTTACATATATACAATATAAACTGTTTAATTAAATTTGAAATATTAAGTATTAATATATCATAAACTGAACTTTTTGCTAACTCAAGTGATGACTGCGTATATCTGATGGTTGTAATAAAATTCCTAGTGTATCAGGAGAACAATTCAATAACCCTCCCTTAATAATCATAAATATACATACAATAAAATCTCTAACAAGGGAAGCATTTACTTTGTCTTTTGTAAAATTCTTGCATCACACAATGAATTTTACACCCCCTATACTCTACAATTAAATCAATTCCGCCATCTCCTGTTAGGATATTGCCCTTACTGGTCTTGTAACTCATTCTGAAATAAATAAAATGAATGAGTGAATTGTATCATCATTGTTGCCATACAAATAGGCGCATAACATGATAACACTTTAAGCCTGGTTCGACTGCATGCCACCACAAAACACAGTATGACCTTTATATATAGGTACCACTAGACTTAGCCTGGTTAGACCATCAACATTATCTGAAGTAATATTGGTTGCCATAAGTAATGATTATTATATATCAAATTACAACCTTTAGCAGTTGTAATATTATAAACATAAGCTGTAAATTGGCTGTAAATACTACACTATTGTGATTAGCTAAAAGATGGTAATTTTAATTTACAACCATTGTATTTACTTGAGTTTTGTACTTACAACTATTTACAGAGACCAACATTAATCTGAAGTAACAAGTATAGCCATATCATATTTTGTTGTGAAACCACCAGATAAAATTAGTTTCTCTCAATATTTTATGAAAACATGAAAGCAAGGTACTGTACATAACCTCTGCTATATATTGATGAAGAGATTCATAAATGGTTTGAAGTGGTAAAAGGAGAAGATAGAGAAGTATTTTAATTGATATCATTAAAGAAATCCTTATATAGCTATTCAAAAAATTAAATTTAAAATTAAATATTGAAAATTTTCTCTTTTATAAAATTATTTGCAAATAAAATTATTCACATCTCAAAAAGCAATATTAGTTTTGATTGATAAAACAAGTAAATTATTATTAAGTAAATTATTATTACTGCATTTATTAGCCTTCATTGTTTTGTATTGTCTTGTAATACATTTTGACCCTCATAATATGTTTTAACTATCAAAATTCAATATTTTAACCATAGAATTTTTTCTAACCATTTTGACTTTGTTATTTCATTTCAGTTTTATCTATATGGTATTATTCAAGAAAATTATAAACCTTACCCTATAAAGCATATCAAACATGCTTTATATCAGTTCACTGATCATTTGCCAATCACAATTTTCATTTTATTAAAAAATAATTAAATTATAAAAAAGTGCATAAATAATATAACTTTAAATTAAATAATAATTTTTAATTTTTATATGCTAAATTATCCTTCACCGAGGAGTGATCATCACCGTTGGCCAGAATTATCAATTTTTACCGGCACTATATTTTTTTAATGCTGGTTAATCGTCATAATTTAGTCACCAGTGATCATCACCCCCGGTGATAGTTAGAAAAATTCTATTATTAATAATTAATGTAGTTTTGGCCGATCATTGGATAAAAATTGATGCTGAAGCCAAATACGCAAAGCCAAAACTTGAAATTTTACATGTTTATTATATATAATCTATAAAAAAAATAATACAAGGTTTTTGCCCATAATGCAGGTTTTTTGCTTATAGAGAAATTAGCCAATTATTTGTTATTAATATATTTCTAATAAAAAAGATTATTTATACCATTTAAAGATAATGAAAAACCTTTAGTTGAAGATGAAGATGATAATAGTTTAAGTGAAGATGAGAATATTGAAAATATTTAGTTCTATAATATAATTATTAATAATTTTGTTTTATATAAATTTTCTTTAAATTAAATTTTGTAAAGTTATTTGTAAATTTTAAAAATTTATTAGTGTAAAATTGTATGTTTGCTATGTTACCCTATAAGCAATCTGTATACGGAAAGAATACATTTTGTATACATTTTATGTACGTTTCTATAGATTCTGCATATATTTAATAAGCAATTCATTTTTTATAAACCTTACTTTAATCTTCCTTTCTGTTTTTCCTTTCTTTCGTCTTGTTTTTGTTATTTTTGTTGTTTTTTTCTTTTGTTATTTTGTTTTTTTTATTTTAAAAAATTTTTCTTCCTTTTTCATCACCTTTTAAAAAAATTATTTTTTTTTTGTACCTCCCTTTAAAAAAAAAATTTTTTTTTCGTACCTTCCTTTAAAAAAATTTTTTTTTCGTCGCTCCTTTAAAAGATTTTTTTGATTTTATTCTTTTATTTTCTACTCACCACCCTTTCTTTTTTTTAAAAAAAGTTTTTTTTCTTTCTATTTCCTCTTTATAAAAAATTTTTAATTTTTCTATCTTTGATGTCTTTCCTTTAAAAAAAAAATTTCTTTAACTTTCCTAATTTCATCACCCTTCTTTTTGAAGAAAAATATTTTTTTGATTTCATGTATTAAAATTTTTGTGTCATGTCAAATATATCATCACTACTTTCGTGAAAGAACTTAGGAATACTTTGTAACGGTTCTTTAAAATTGATAAAAGACAAACACAATAAATACAATAGCAAATAATAAACACTGATTTGTGCGTGAATAAAAAATATATCTGCATCAGTTATCGCACTATCGTTTACCTTTCCTAATAGGTGGTTCAAGTTATCGTTGATCAGAAAACACTACAAAATTCATAATGCGGGCCAAAATGTATAGTGCTGGCTAGACAATTTCAGCCTGAATTTTAACTTTTCAGTTTCGGGAATGTCTGGCCAAAACCGAAAAGCAATGGATCGGGAGAAAATAAACAAGATCATTAGTACTATATATGTTTATGTAATTATGTACGTCGGAAAGTAACGCCCGCATAGTAAATTCTACATACATATTTATATTTCTTTTAATAATTATTTCTAAATTTTATATTACTTTATAGCTATTATCATATTCTTTTAGAAAAGTGATATTTAAACTTTGGGAATTTTAAAATGCAAGAGGTATTTTAATTATAATGTAAAAAAGTTTTTTTTTTAGATCTGAAAAAAAAATTTTACATATAAAAATAGATAATTTCAAGATGCATATATATTTATATTTCGTTTAATAATTATATCATTTTAAAGTCAATAATATCATATTCTTTTAAAATAAATGATATTTGAACATTGAGAAAGTCAAAATACAAGAACTGTTTTAATTATAAAATACGGAATTCATTTTATATATGTAATTTACTATGTAATTGTGAATCAGGCGTTACTTTCCAATGCGACTGTACAGTACGTATGTCTATATCATCAGGTTTATGCACGAATTACAAAAAAATGAAGACACATAGTATAACCGTTATTATTTGCATGATGGTTAATAATAAACATGAATCAGTTGGATCACGAGTTTTACGCTGACATAACATTATTTTGAGTTGAAAAATCATTGCTTTTACACAAAAAAAAATATTAAAAGGGCATTTTTTAGAAAATTATAATAATGTAATCTATAAACAATTTATTTTTGGATACCAATTACATATCATATGATATGATGTACAATTAAAAAAAATACATATAAAAATGTTCAATATTAAAATTTTATGTTAAGAGAATATAAAAATTTTTCTTGCCCGGTCTAATAGATATGATTCTATGTATTCTAATAAGAAAAACCTTGTTAGCAACATTGATTAATTGGAACTTGATTAGGACCAGTTAACAAACAACATTGGGTACAGCATGTAACGAAATTACTAAGATCACAAAAAGTGCCACTAGCCCTACATGTGGGTATTACTAAAACGGAGGTGAAAGTGGAGGTAGAAGTGGAAGTAGTAGTGGCGGTAGCAGTGGAGGTGGTGGTTTCAAAAGCGGTTTTTGTTGTGGTTTTATTTTTTTTAGGACATGGTTTATAAACTGTTGGAGTACAATAGGTGATTTCTGTGCATTTGCCATGTTTATTATAAGTATAATGTTTATGTTTATCAGGAACACATTTAACATGTTCATGTTCTTGATTATGCCTCTTTCGTAATGGTGTGGGAGTACCAGGCTCAACGAAAGTGGTGGTAGTGGTGGAGGTGGTGGTGGTGGTGGTGGTGGTGGTGGTGGTGCTTGTAGTTGTGGTGGTTGCGGTGGCGGTAGATGTAGTTGTGGTTGTTTTAGTTTGTACTTTTGGGCAATGTGATGGATAAACGGTTCTAGTATAATGGTGTGCCTTGACTACTTTTTGGCAGTGTCTATGATGGTTATAATGCTTATTAGTTGCTACTGACGACGAGAAAAAAAGCATCAAAACGACTAAACCAGTCGTAATGAAAAGAAAATTTCTATTTGACCACATCATGATGAAAAGAATAAAAATTATTTAATTACAGTAATTAAAATTAATTGATAATGGAAAGAATTACAAATAAAAGTAATGATGAAAGTCGTCTACATCAGTATGATATTTATACCTTTTAGTGAATTAGGTGTTCTTAGTGAATTATGCGATGAACCATTAATGGTGATGCACATCAATGTTAGAAAAACAATAACGCTAGTAATATCTTTTATGCACCAATCGATATATCCAATCGCAGCAACTAAACTAACCAACAAGGGAAAGGATTAAAAATAGAACAATGATAAAAGTCGTATTTATTTATACCTTTAAATAAATCGTGTGTTCTTAATGAACTTGATGGTATGGTCCCACAACAGGTGCACATCAATATTAGAAAAAAAATGTCATTGATGCAAAATAGTAATATATTTATTGTAACAAGAAAATGAATAGAAAACGAAAATACATATCTCGAAAACCAATAACGCCAATTAAGAAATATTAATATTTTTAAGTAAGGCAAAAAAATATAAATAAAAATTATGAAATTGATTACGAGATAAAATAGTTCATGAAAGCTATGTAAACCAGCCATATGATAAGGTCGATTATTATTATTATTATTATTTTACGGCGCTAAAAGATGAATTTATGAGTATAAAAATTTTGTTTTTTTGTAGCAAAAGTAAATTTGCTAGATTTTGTAACACATCTGAATAAATGATATGAACGAAAAAAAAATAAATTGTGAATTTTAAATGCCGAATATCATTGGCCCTGCATCCGGTTTCTAAGTTAACTAATGAGTTCTAGATTAGTTTCTTCAAAAGTAAATTACCCATAAATTCATAAAATATATGCTGATCAAACAGGTAGCAGCAGGTATCCATCAATCTTTGCGGAGGTTTTATGTATGGCGTAAATAGTTTCATAACGTCATATTAGGAATTATTATTTTTTACTAGATTTAAATTAAACTTTTTTCTTTTTTCTTCATATGACTATACTATCTTCAGTAAATAACAAACTATATGTAACTCTCTCCTTTTTTTTGGCATATTGAAATTTTTATGGAAATTTAAATTAATTATTTAACTATTTTCGGCGATCAAGTTATTGAGTAGCCTTTATTTGGTGTGATAACCGGTAATGTTAAGATCATCCAATCACAAACAAGTAATCAAAAATTATATTTGTGCATATTTACTATATTTACTTCAAATTATTTTACCAATTAAATTTTAATATTTACGGTCACTCATGATTTTGAGTTTCACGGAACTTTATTTTTACGCCTATATTCGTGATGCATAAACTTGCTTCGACGTTACAATATATAACAATATGAACGTAAAAGAACATAGATAACGATGTCACATATCAGATATGTAAATATTTGCTGGCGTTGTAAAAAGTAAGTTAAATTGCAAATCTAAAATTGAAATGTGTATAATATGATTTTCAAACGAAATATTTTTAATTAATAAAGGGATAAAATAATTGGTAAAAATAAATTTATATTACTTAATAAAGGGAAGGGATAAAATTTATATTACTTTAAAGGGAAGGGATAAATAAATATTTTTAATTAATAAAGGGATAAAATAATTGGTAAATTTTTTTTTTTTTTTTTTTTAAAAAAAATTGGATATTACTATAACATGTATAACATGTATGGATACGGGATGCCTTTGTATCACACGCGTTCCTTACAGATCAACATTGTTTATTACCAAATAAGGATACCTATTACCAAATAATTTATTACCAAATAAGACCATATACCATATAAGGATGTTTGTTACCAAATAAGGAAAGGCTTAGACCGTTCTATTGTGTACCACATATGGACTTGACGTCTTGACCTTTTTATAAGTAATACAAAGGTTTCCATATACACTATGTTCTCTTTTTTTTTTGGAATATACGTTTATAAAAACAGTCAAAATATAGATGTATTATTTATATATTTATTTTATTATTCTTATTTTTACAGAAACGGCAAAATTTGAGGACATATTTCAGAGTCATTTACTAAAAAAAAATTAAGGAAAACATTAGTAAATATTCTTAATTCGAGATCCGGCTATAATGTAGATCATTGATGTTATTTAATAGGCATTTTTGTGGGTAAGGTATCACTGCATCCAGTGCAACAAAATATAAATGTTACGCAGTATTTTATATCAGAAAAACCTTCACTATGTAGTTACTGCATATTAAGGAAAACAGGTTTCTGTAATGAATGTTTCTTTTTTAAATATTTTTTTTATATAGAATGGCTCCCTGTTTCAAGACGAAATAGATGTGAGGTATGCCAATAATAGAAGAATATTTTTAATTTTTTAATTCAGAACGTTTATTAATATCCTTTATCTTTTTTTTTAGATAATAGTTCCCTGAACAAGGTACTCCAAGGAAATTTTTTTTCACTAAGAACATTTACTAACGTTTTTTGTTTTTTTCTTTAGAAAATGGCTCCTTGGACCTTTCAAGACGAAATAGACACAAGGCAAGCCAAAGGAATAATTTGTTTTTTGTTTTTTTTTTTCGTTAATTCGTGATCCGGATGTCGATAAGTAAAAATCTGCCGTCGCCACAAAGACAAGTCATTTTTTAATTTTTATCGTGTAATAGTAATCGCATAGTGAAAATATAGTAAATACGCAGTTACTGCATATTAAGGAAATTAAGTTTCTGCAATGTTGTTAGAAAATGTTCTTAACAAAAAAAAAATCAAAAAAGAATGTTAGTAAATGTTCTTGATAAAAAAATTAAAAAAAAATTTCAAAACTTACAAGTTTTTAAGCTTATTTTCTGGGTACCTAAAAAATAATCGATTTATCATTATCACAACCCCACTACCAGATGATATATAATTTATATACACTTTTTTGTTAATAATAACAAAATTTAGATGCAATGTAACCAGAGATTGGGTTAATTAACCGTTATGCGGAATTTTATGAGATTTGTACAGTATTACTAATGTAAAATTTGCACAAGATTTGTACAAACAGATCTCGATAGATTCCTGCAGAATCCCATCACTAAATGTAACATCATTTGTAACAATCATGTACATGTTCCCAAGAATACTTTTATAAACTTTAAAAATTAAAAACTTCGCTTTATTCGGTTGCATTTGGCAAAAGAAGGTTGTCAATTATATGTTTATTTTAATATAACAAACTAATAAAGTATTAAGAAAACTTTTTTAACTTTCTTTTGCTTATTTTTTTTAAATATTTTATAAATATCTTTTATTTTAACATTACTTTTAGATATATAAGCATTAAAGATCTAATTTAAATATTTAAATAAACAAAAAAAAAACATTATATTTAACTAGTTTTTCGATTAAAAACCATTTATAACGCCCCAAATAGACCCAATAATATTATTCTAATTAAAAAGAATTTTTTTTTATTAGCGCGCTTAATTAAAAAAAATTTTAACAAAATTTATAAATAACAAAAAATCTGGCTTAATAATTACCATTCTAAGCTTAGAAAAAGTTATTCATTTCACCAAGTTATACCTATAAATAAAATAATTACTGGTTAAAAAATGCTTTTGTTGAAAGTTTTATTGTTTTGTTGAAATCAAAATAATTTTTTTTTATTATAAAAATTGGTTTTTTACGGTTTACACAAAAACTCCCTAAATAACTGCCTTTTTAAACTTAATAAACCTTTTTCTTCTTGTAAAATTACATATATTTTTGTTGTTTAAATTGTATTTCACACCTACCTTTAAGTTGCATTTGGAGGAAAACTTCATTTTTGAGACGAACTTTCTTGTATATGCAAAAAAAAAAAAAATATTACTAAAGAGGAAATGGAGAAAATTTATACTGTAATACACATGACATCATGACGAACTATTAATAAGCATGTCAATTTCCGTTGACTGGTATTATTTATTTATTTATTATTTATTAGTCCTATTAGTCCGAAGTGTACCGAAGGACTATATATTATTCGTATCGGTTTCACAAATGTCTTGTTGTCCGTACGGCACGTGATGATGTACAATGATAACTGCGCTTCGGACCGTTTCTCATCATATTATTATTCATTATTATTATTAATATTATATTGTTATCATTTTACTTATATATATATTTTATAAATTTAATATCAGATATAAGTTAATAAATAATCTAATGTAATGACATATTTCTGAGTGAGTTGTAAAATATCGTATATCGTAACTACAAAATTTATTTATAACAATGGTGCCAAAAAAAAATGATTTTAATATCATTTCTTTCTCTCTTTTCATAAAACCTTTTTTTACTAATAACTAATAACTTGTTTTCTAAATATTTCATTTTCGTTAAATTCTAAAAAAAAAAATGTCCCAAATAACGAATCCTAAGAAATGGACTACGGATGAACTTCTTGAACTTCTCTCTTATATCGAAAGTCACCAATTCGATTCATTGTCAGAGGCATGTAGAAAAGCAATAAATCATTTAAATATTGATAGAACTCATAAGAGCGCTTATTCAAAAATGAAAAGATTAATTCACGCAATAAAGTTATGGTTGAATGATCATATACAAAATGGGGAAGCGATCATTTGGCAAGATGATAGAGTGTATAAGTTATTGGAAAAAATTTATGAGACACAGGAATCTAACAAAAATAATAACAAGTTTGTTAAAGTATCATCTGAAAATCAAGAACAAGAATTACAGCGAGGTTATCAAATTGAAAGTACTGGTGAAACTAATAGTGTGAGCGAAGAGCAAGACCTTACAGATAATTTCAGTGATTCAATTGTGGATGGAGATTATTATACTGATCATCTTGACTTATACAGGTAAATATCCATTTAACTTTAAATTTTGATAGTTTCCTTAGCCTATATTATATTTAAAAAATAATTTAGGAAAATTAAAGAACAATTGCCTCTTTTTCACCTTCCATTAAAGATCTTGAGTGATAGAATCTATGAAGCAGAAAAAGAAGCAAGAGAAGTTTATGAAACGACTACTGCTGAAAACGTAGATATGAAATATCATCAAATTTGTCAAATAATCAAACAAATTCAAGAGTATCGAGATGAAGTGTGTGATTTGTTTGAGGAATTCGAAAAAAAGATCAACGAAAGATCGTTATTATTAAATGAATCTTTTTGATAAGTAAAAAAAAAAAAAATTTTTTTTTTTTTTTAATTTCGCTATTTTTATAAAAGGCATATTAAATTTGAATGTATTTAGGTATTTGAATATAGCTTTAAACTTCAAAAGGAAAATATTTTATAAAACAAATATATATTATTTTACTTTTTGTATTTTGCATAATTCCAATTTTTTGTTATATGATCATATGAAATAAATATTCATTAACAAGTACCCTATGGAAACTTTTTTTTTTTAAATTGCTATTTTAAGTGTAAAATTATTACACAAAATGTATTTAAATTTTATCCCCTGATCGGCACCATTTACACGATTATGCAAATGTAGTTGGGTAGCAAATTTTATATGTATTTATTTATCCGTTTCTAGGAAATTTTGCAGTAAAAATTAACTATTGATTATACTATAATGGATTGATTTGAAAATTTGAGTAATTCAGAAAGATTTGCATTTTCCAAATGAGAAAATCTTTCTTTTAATTTATTTGTAATCTCAATATTATTTTTCAAGTGTAATAGTAATAGTTCCGAAACCTTTTAAAATTTAATTATTTTTTTATAAAATCTTTTAAAATGAAAAAAAACAAGCGAAAGAAAATTATAAAACATTTACTATTGTGTAAGTGGCGGGGGATAAACCAGTTATATCCTGGCTAATTGGAATGAATCAAAACATGATCGGCTATCGGCCGATCATTTATCCGATTCTAGTAAAATTTTACTAATTAGCCAGGATATAACTAATACACATATTTAAAATTGCAATTTTAAATATAGTTTGAGTAAAAATAAATGAACATCGGGAAATTTTTTCCACGTAAAATCCACATGGAAATCCACATGGAAATCCACATCAAATATTGTGGAAATCTGAATAGTTCCAATATATCCTGTGACGAAACATATGGTATTTTCGGCGTAGATCAACAAAATTGCACGTCATAGTCGTCATACCCATGCTGCTACTTATTATACAATAGAAAGTAATGGTAATACTGTACAACTCAAATTTTTATGCATAACAAAAAGCATTTTGTTTTGTATAAATTTTTTTTTTTAATATAATAATAATATATCTCTCATATAAACCATAACAATTATTTATTAGAATATTACCAATCAAGAGGATTATACCTATCAATTATCGTTTCATTTTCTTTGGCTTTAATAAGATTTATTCTAAATGAAAAGTGATATATATTAATATATAATGCCTACTTGAATAATATGAAAAGAACTCTTTTCATTATTCTGTTGTCAAACCCCTCGTATGAACCTAAATTTTTTAATATTGTATTTTTCTTTCAATCTTGTAATTTAAAAAATACATAATATATGAATACTAGTACTTATAGTTTATAATTGCCCATTCACATGCACCTTTTAATTTTAAATGCGTGAGGAATATGGTTAATGACTATCAAAAACGGTAAAAAAATTACTTTTTTTTTTAATGAAATTACAAATTGGATAAGATCGACCGTCAAAGCCAAGAGGAAAATCAGCCAAGAAATGTCGATAGTTGCCTGATTGAAATTTGAGAAAATCCGAAACCGGGAAAAAAAGAGGTTGATAAAATGTCTTCCCTTCAAACAAAAAAGAAAATCAACTTAATAATAACGATTACTATATATCGAATGTCCGAGTATTACGAATTGTGCAGTATAATGAACATAGCGTATAGCGGATTAGATTATAAACAAAGAACGATTTGAAAATCAAATATTAATGCAGAATAGTCACAAGATATTAATATTACATAATTGATTTTATCCAAATATTTTTCATAAAATTATCGTCCTTACATCGATAATGTCAGCCAGAATTTATTGCCTTTTTTAGATGCTTGCTGGCATCATGATTCCGACCCTGAAAAAATTCTAATTGTAAAAATTTTTTTCCTGCACCCTTAAATAGCTCGAGATCGGCATTGTGGAAAAGTAATTAAAAGTAATTTTAGATGTTTTTGATTGTTGGTCCATTTAATAAAATTTAGCACATTTAAATTAAAAGGTGCATGCAAATGGATTTTTGACAAACTATATATGGTTAATAATCATTACGTAAATAATATATGAAATGTATTAATTGCCAGTCCGCATGTGAACGATAGACTAATAATAATCTAAATTCATTTAGGGGGCGGTGCAGATCATTTTAAAGCATTGTAAGACCTACTCATATAGTAAACTACAGTACGTTGCCACCGCAGTCTTAACAAAAATGATGTATACTCATGATCCGTCATAATATGAAATATAATTTTATAGGGTTTCCTTAATGTACAGTGAGGTGTACGATATTAAAGTACAAACTGGCCAGAATTAACGTTAACGCTATCACGTGAAGTGCATAACTCCTAAACTCGGGCCAGTTTGTACGTTAATATCGTACACCCTCACTGTACGTTAAGTACGCCCAATTTTACATACTTAAACTACTGCGACCTACAATTAATAAATTCACTAGGTAATTCCGGCATTACGGCATCAAAATTTATTTTCGCGGAGTTATTTACTTAAAAAACTGAAAATTTTGAAAAAATCGCAAAAAAATCAATAATTGCTTAAATTAGGTAGTTTTTGCAGGTTTTGAAGTCATTCAATCAAATATAAAAAAAATCCATATTTTTTCAATTAATTTTTTTTTTTAAAGAATATATTAATACAGTCAAACCTTTATATAACGATATGTCGGGACATATATGAAATTTTTAGAAAATATCGTTATATCAAAGTTATACCGATATTTATATGTCCTCACATATAGTGGGAAAATAAAATTTTATCGGTATAACAAGTTTTTAATAGTATATCGGTATATCGAATATCGGTATATCGAGGTTAGACTGTACATATGTAAAAGTATGTAAATATAAAATTTGAGGCTTTTAGCCGGTTCTTTTTAAATTTATTCAAAATATTGCCAAATTTTGACTAATTGGTAATGTTTAAAGAATTGTTTGTAAAATTTTAAGTTTTACAGTATTAATTTTAAATACTTGAATAAAAAAGATATAATCTCAAGGTTTTTTCAACAAAAATTTTATTAAAAATTAATCTACTTATCTATGGGGGAAACAAATTTGCGATAATTTTTCTATCCATCACNATCATTTTAAACTACAAGCTATTATACAATCATTTTTTAATAATTAATTAGTAATTAACAAATCAATAGGTCCGTGCGTTTTTTTTTTAAATCCGAATTACTTTCTTTTATCATGATAGACAAATATAATTATTTTAATCCGATATGTGTACGTTACGTAAAATTTTATCCGATTATTATTATTGATGATGGAATAAGTAATGATGGAATGAAAATATTGTATTTTATTACACTATATGTAATGTAATTAATTTTATTAATAATCAAATTTGTAGATCTAATATAAATAATAATAAAAGGATATAAGAATAATTAAGTACAATGATAATTATATATATATATATTGTTGAGATAAAAAAAAATTGGGTAATAATTGTATGTTGTATAAGTTTAAACCCTAATAAAGTTATGCGTGTTGTTAAATCTCATCGCAGGTGATTCTCACCGCACCAGCATTAGCAAATATAAACGGGCAGAGTTTCATGACATTTTTAATTCTGCCCAAAATTTTACCCTAATTCTGGTAAGTTGAAAATCACCAGCGGTGATATTTAGCAATACTAAAAAAAAAAAAAATTTCACCACATATCCCCCACGTGATTTTTGTGGCGTTTAAAAAAAAAATTTTCTAAAATTTCAAACATTATGCCAATTATGATCATCAATCAAACCATTTTGCGCGGGAGAATAAAAAAATAACAAAAATCCCCCGAGAATCAATTGCCCGCGTAAATTTTTTAATGAATGTGTATGCATACTGACTTTGTTTTTATTATTTAATACAAAAAATCGATTGTAAATATTGTTTCAAGAATCAAAACTAGTTTTTCATAAAAAATTTTTTAATGAAAGATAAAAAAAGAATTTTCCTCCATAAAAAGGTCAAAAAATAAATAAATATTTGTTTACAAGTTGATTGTTGACATTCCGAATAAATAAAGATAGAATAAAAAAATACGAAATAAAAATTTTTTTATATTTATCTTAACCGAATAAGAAAGTTGTAACAGTTGTTTGAATGAGAAAAAATAAATAAATTGAAATCTCCATTCATCGTAAAACAAATTATAAAGCCGATATATTTGCCGATAATGAGTATTGTTAGGGTGCGATAGATTTGCCAATAATATTCGAGTCTTGCCATTAAATAAAATTACGAATTTTGGATCGTTTGAATTAAAATGGGAGTTAAATATCGAGCATAATCAGAAATTAGTCCCATTAAAGATATGGGTTGCGAAGGGATCATTTGTGTTTTGCCTTGGTAAGTGCCTAAAATAATTTATATACGAATTGATTGTACTTGCATGTCTTATTTTTCGTTGAATTCTACGATTTTGAAGAGAACGATTATATCGTGGCACATATGATGATGAATGAGTTTGGGTTGCATTGGTAAGACATTTTTTTTGTTGTCCATCTTTTCTTTGGTATGGAGAAGAACTATAAAATACAGAAGAAATGAGAAAAATTAAAAAGATAAATAAATCATTATAATAAAAGGTTCTGTTAAAATGACAAGGTTTTTTTTGCTGTATGCTTTGCTCATTTATCCCCTTAAAATTTTTGAGTGAAATGCTAAATAGGTTGCCACACAGATAAATAACCCTTTTAATGTCGTATCACTTCCTTTAAAGGTATATTTTCTACGAAAGAAAAAAAAAAGAATTCTTCAAACTTACCATTCTAAACTTTTTGAAGAAACAAGTTTGTTCTCTTTTCTGGCACAAAATGATGGGCCCATACTTCTCCATAAAGCATTCTTTATACGAATTAAATGCTTTTCTTCTGCGTGTAAAGCAGAAACTTCTTTCTGTAGTTTGAGTTTGTTGCTAAAGTTTAAAACATTATTATTTTCTTCATGTTGAGATTGTAGTGATTGTTGGGCAGCTTTCTGAGAACATTTACTGAGTTTCTTTTGTCCTTTTTTTTCACGTTCTTCACGTAACTTTTCTTGACAGATAGCAAGTTGTTTACAAATTTTTCTATAAGAGGAGATAATACTATCAGTATCGGTCCATTGAGAAGCGATATAGGTGAATGATAGGTGTTCCATTTTTTCTCCTTTCTAAAGAATTATATTTTGTTCAATCAAGAATTTTTTTTTTAAATAAAAAATTTTTTTTTTTTAATACAAAAGAAAATACAAATTTTTTTTTGAGCCGAATTTTATTCAACGAACGTTTTTATTGTTAGAAGTTTCGAATATTGTTTTTGAAAATTGAATCAAAAAGCCTGCGGTTTCTTTTTTTAATATATATTTAAATATATATCACATAAAGAGGAACGAACCAAAGAGAAGAAGTATATAAATAAATAAAATAAAAATAATATGAAATGAAAAAAAAATTCTTCAAAGCAGGAAAAAGAAAGAACTTTTTTTCCCTAAAAAAATATTTGTGTTAACTGCCAGAAGGTTTATTTATACAAAAAAAAACTTTTTTCACCCATTTTTTCTTAAGTATTACTAATACTTTAATAATGAATAAAAATTTTTTTGCTTAAAATTACATAGTATATAATTTTTTAAAATAAATGATAAGAATTAATCTTTTTAATGTTTGTTAAAAAAATTTTTAACAAAAATAAATAAATACTGTAGGTAGATAAATAAATAAATAAATACTATAAATAATTTTTTAAGATAAATAAATAAATAAATAAATACTGTAAATAATAATTTTAAAACCACATGAATCATATAAAATAAAGTTGTTATTTCCCTAGATTATTATTATTGTTAGTATTTTTGAAAAAACAAGCATAAATGATCATACATATATGCGTATATACAGTAATGTCGTACTGTGTTAATATAACCAGGGCGGTTTGCATGAATAAAATTATATTAAAAAATTTTTTTTTTATTTTATAATAATTACTTTTTTTTTGGACCCTTAATTCTTTTTTCTTATCTTATCAAAAACGTAAATGTAAAACTATATAATAACTCTTCCTTGTCTTTTGTATGTAAAACTATATAAACAAGTACGCCGGTTGGTAATCACTTAAATTTTGAATTTACATCCGATTAGATAACTAAATTGCTAAATTAAATCGTTATTTTTATAGACAGAAAAGAGAAATTATATCATTAAAAACGTCATATTTACGTAAAAATATATATTTATCCATGTAATGTAACATATACGGAATTTTAAAACAGAAAACAGGAAATATTCAAAATCTACAAATTATTTTCTACAAACAGCTCGGATGAAAGTTTTTCGGATAAAATTTAAGGATGCATCAACTGCACCATATATTGATTTGAAATTTTAAAACTTTCAGTACATAAAAAAATTTTCTAATATTATATAAGATTTTTTTTAATAAAATTATCATTTATACCCAATAATATTCGGGTATGTATTCGAATTAAAAAAATAAATTCTTTTAATATTTCTTTTTTATGTAAAGATAACAACTCCGAAATTTTTTTTATAATAGTAATACCCCTTGAAATTAGCCTAATATTATTGCCCCCGTTTAATTTAAGTCAACAATAACTTTATCGAGTGGACAGACCCCTTCACAGACCACCTTACCTGAAACTCTTTAACCAATCACTCAAATATCACTACATTCATCGTCATGTGACATTATAACGTATATAAATGTAACCTAACTTTAAAAAAAATATTTCTTTGTTAAATAAATATTTATTATTGTTGTTTTTTTTTCTTTAATTGATAGGCAAAGATTTGTTTTTTGCTGTAAAAAAATAAATGTTAAATAGTTATTGGATGGGGGAAATAAATATCGGTCAAAGACCGTTACCAATAATAGGAATTAATGTTACTAATAACGTTTTCAATTTTGGATGTCTCTCGGTTATTAAAATCCGCATATTCCTAATCGACTGAACAATAATTATATAATTATTATTATTGTTTATTTTCTTTAGTTAGTAAATTAAAAGAAAAAAATATAATTATTTTAGATTAAATTTTTTTTGTCATACGATTGTGCAATAACTCTTTCTCACTTAAACAAAGAAAAAATCGTATAATGTAACGTAATATAAATACTGTACAACACAATTTTTCTTTATGCATTAAAAAACAACCCAATAATATATTTCTCATATAAACCGTAACAATTACTTAAACCATTATAACCATCAATTGTAATTCTATTTTGAATAATATTTTATGAAAAAAAATTTTTTTTTTTTTTCCACATTCTGCCCAGTGCCCACTCGCATGAAAATTTTTTTTAGTGTTTCAATCTTGTACTAATTTAAAAAATATATAATATATGAAAATTATTTAAACCATAATAGTTATTATATGGTAGTACCAAATACTAATTGTCCATTTACATGAACCTTTTAATTTAAGGAATATGATTAAATGTAATGATTATCAAAAATGGCAATAATATCCGAGGGAAAAAAGAGTTTGATAAAACACCTTTCCTTCAAGCAAAAAAACCAATCATCTTAACAATCTAATGAAAAAGGAAAAAATACAACAACAGTTATAAAATGAGACAAATTAAAATAAAATTTCCATATATTTAAGTGAGTTTATTTAATTAATTATGCATGATTTTACAACAAACAAATCTGTATATGAAGCCGATAAATGAGTATTGATCAGATAATTCAGATAATCTTTTTATTTCGAGGGAAAAGGAAAAGATGTTTTAAATATAAAGCTTTAACTTCCGTATCTTTTCCCATTTACGACTAATTATCCGCTGATCATGTGCTATAAATCGAATGTCCGAATATGTAGTATAACATAGTGGAAGGCGGATTGATTAAAAAGTTTTGTCCGAATATTTTCCTTATATGACTTACGATACTATATCCAATTAAATTTTATGCAAATATGACGTTTACCATCCTGAATTTGTATAATGATTGTGGCTATGTCAATTATAATACCTATTTTACAATTGGAAAAAAATTCTTTTCGTTGTTTGTTGTTTATTTATTATCCGGCATTGAGAATTGAGAAAAGTAAATTTTTTTTAACGTCTATTATAGTTCCAGGCCCTTCATTGATTGGTGAAAATGCTACGTGACCCATTTTCATTCAATCATTCGGTTCTGTAACCGATATAGCTACTCGCTATATATATATGAAGTTTGTCAGAAAAAAACGTGTATTTTTTTTATATCTCGTTGTACAGTATAAATTACGTATTTTTTTTATGTTTACTTTTACATTATAAATCTTTTTTTGTTTAAATTATAGTACTAATAAATCAAATTTTAAAATAAGTTATGCCTCGACGTATTATGATATATTATTTAAATTTAATCCGAATTAGTACTTTCATACGCTACGCAAAATTTTATCCGAATATTTTGGTTCGGTCCTTAATTAATAGTAGTACTGTAATAATAATATTATTATTATTAATGATGATGGAATAAGTAATGATGGAGTAATTGAGATTGTACTTTATTATTATTAAAACATATAGTATGTGTAATAATAATATAATAAATGAAATAAAATAGAGTAGGTATCGAGATTTTTTTTTGTTGTTATTTTGCCAAGAATTTGTGTAGATCGTAAGTAGATCGGAAATTTCTTTTATGTGACTACTTTTTTTTTTTTTAAAAAAAAAAACACAGTAAATAAATTGTGTACCGTTTAATTTTTTTAAAAAAATTATAATATAAAATTATAAGAATGATAATAACTATTTTATATGTGTATAATATTTACACTATAACGAGAAGAAGAAAGATAAAACAAATCGGGTTTCTTTAGAAATAAATGTAATCACCCAAATAATTAAAGAAAAAGAAAATTACTTTTATTATTCCTTTTTTTCTTTATTTCAGGCTTTCAGCTGAACGAAACGAAAGGTCCCGTTATTTTTAAGATGTAAACAAACCTTAAATATATATTTTAAATATATTTACACAAAGAAAAGGGTATCTTGATAAACGTCGAAATAAATATTATGTTATACATATTGTAAGTATTGAATATAAACGCAAAAATGAAATAAACTTGGTCATCGACATGTCAAACCATAGATAGAAATCATTGTTACACATCACATGATTAAGAAAAAATAAATTATTGTTATGGAATATGCGAGATTTTAATGACCGATATTTTTATTTATTGAAACCATCGCAGTATTCCTAATGGCTGAACGGTGAATATTTGTCAGTCTTCGACCGATATTTGTTTATTATTCAAACTGAATGGATATTGGTTCCCATTAAAATAGTGGTAACCATAATAAAACAATATCCCCCCAAAAAAAATTAATTGGTATGGGTCACACACATAGTAGTAGTACAGTACATAGTACATATGCATTCTGTGACATAGTGTCAGTGTTCCGAGAACTGTTTTTCTTTTTATTATTTCGTTTAATTTAATATAAAAATCGAATAAAAATTTTTTGTAAAAATTTATATATTTATTAATAATTGTTTTGAGTTTTTTCTAGATGTTTTCATAAAGGAAGAAAAAAAAACGGGAATTTCCTTCCCGAAGAAAAATATATATATATTTGTCGACGAGTTGATGTTATAATTAATAAAAATAGTATATACATGTGTATATATATATTAAAAATAAATGCGGAATAAACCTTTTCTTATATTTTATCTTTCGAGGAAAAAATTTGAAATAGTCGAAATAAATCGTCATTGAAATCGTAAATTTGTAGTACAAATTATAAAGCCGCTTTATAATTTTGCCATACGATAGATTTGCCAATAATATTCGATAAATATATATATATTTTTTTTAAATGAATGATAAGAATAATCATTTTAATGTTTGTTAAAAAAAATTTTTAACAAAATAAATAAATATCGCAAATAATAATTTTAAAAATATATGAATCAATCGATTTTTTGTAAATAAAATAAAATAAAGTTGTTATTTCCTTATTATTTTTTTTGAAAAAACACAAGCATAAATGATCATACATATATGCGTATAATACAATATAATGTACTGTGTAATATAATCAGGGCGGTTTGCATGAATAAAATTATATAAAAAATTTTTTTTTTTATATTATTATAATAATTTTTTTTTTTTTTTCAAAGACGTAAATGTAAAAGTATATAATAAATTGCACAACTCTTCCTTGTATCTTGTACGTAAACTATGTAAACAAGTACGCCGGTTGGTAATCACTCAAATTTGAATTTACGTCCAATTAGATAACTAAATTGCTAAATTAAATCGTTATTTTTACAGACAGAATAGACAGAAATATCATTAAAAACGTCATATTTACGTAAAAATATATATTTATGGATTACATGTAATGTAACATATACGGAATTTAAAACAGAAAACAGGAAATATTCAAAATCTTACAAATTATTTTCTACAAACAGCTCGGGTGAAAGTTATTCGGATAAAATTTAAGGATGCATCAATTGCACCATATATTATTGATTTGAAAATTTTAAAACTTTTAGTTTATAATTAATATTATATAATAATTTTTTTAATAAAAAAATATCATTTATAATATTCGGTATATATTCGAATTAAAAAAAATAAAATTTTCAATATTTCTTTCTATGTAAAAGATAACAACTCCGAAATTTTTTTTATAATAGTATAATAACCATTGAAATTATTCAAATAATATTATTACAAATTCTAACTTTATCGAGTTGACAGACCACCCTACCTGAAACTCTTTAACTTTACATTCATCGCCATGTGACATTCTAATATTCTAACTATTATAGGAATATAACAGTATATATAATGTAACCTAACTTTAAAAAAAAAATTCTTTGTTAAATAAATATTTTCTTTATAGCCAATAAAATTTTTTATTGATAAGTAAAAAATAAATATTTATTATTGTTGTTTTTTTCTTTAGTTGATAGCCAATAAACCAATAAAAGATTTTTTTTTTATTGAGTAAAAAATAAATATTTATTATTGTTATCTTTTTTCTTTAGTTGACGCAATAAAAGATTTTTTTTTTTATTAATAAGTAAAAAATAAATATTTATTATTGTTGCTTTTTTTTCTTTAGTTGATAGCCAATAAAAGATTTTTTTTTTTTTGCTGTAATACTAAATAGCCATTGGATTGGGGAAAAGAGATATCTGTCTTCGGCCGATATCTTAAGAATACTGCGGTGACCAATAGGAACTAATGTTACTAATAACGTTTTCAATATTGGATGTCTCATAAAATATCGGTCATTAAAATCCCGCATATTCCTAATCGATTAAACAATAATTATATAATTATATAATTATTTTTATTGTTTTTTTCTTTAGTTGGTAAATTAAAAAAAGATATTACAATAATTATTTTAGATTAAATTTTTTTTGTCATGCGACCCATGACCCTACTTATTATACAATAAAAACAAAGTTGTGTAAACAAAGAAAAAATCGTATAATGTAACGTAATATAAATACTGTACAACTTTATGCATTAAAAAAATAACTAATAATAGATTTCTCATATAAACCGTAGTAATTACTCAAACCAAAAGAGGGTTATAACCATCAATTGTAATTCCATTTTTGAATAATACGAAAAAATATTTTTTTGGCCATCGCATGAAACTAAATTTTTTAGTGTTTCAATCTTGTACTAATTTAAAAAAATATATTCGAAAACTATTTATTTTATAGTAGTAGTACTAATTGATTTACATGAACTTTTAACAAAAAAGGAAAAAATACAATAAAATGAGACTAAACTTTCCATATATTTATGTAATTTTTTTTAATTAATTATGCATTATTTTACAACCAACAAATCTGTATATGAAACCGATAAATGAGTATTGATCAGATAATTCAGATAATCTTTTTTATTTCGAGAAAAAGGAAAAGATTTTTTTAATTATAAATCGCATTTACAACTAATTATCCGCTGGTCATGTGCAGATTACTATAAATCGAATGTCCGAATATGTAGTATAACGTAGTTGATAGCGGATTGATTAAAAAGTTTTATCCGAATATTTTCCTTATATGACTTACGATACTATATCCAATTAAATTTTATGCAAATATGACGTTTACCATCCTGGATTTCTGATTGTGGCTATTTCAATTATAATATCTATTTTACAATTGGAAAAAATTCTTTTCGTTGTTTGTTGTTTATTTATTATCCTCTGATATCCGGCATTGAGAATTGAGAAAAGTAAATTTTTTTTTAACGTTAATGAAGGCCCTTCATTGATTGGTGAAAATGCTACGTGACCCATTTTCATTCGATTATTCGGTCCTGTAAACCGATATAGCCACTCGCCCATCCCAATTATATACGAAATTTGTCAGAAAAACATGTATATCTCGAAAAAGCTTGGTTGTACAGTATAAATTACGTATTTTTTTTATTTTTACTTTTATATTTATCAGTTACTATAATTTTAAAAAAAACTTTATAATGTAAATCTTTTTATTCGGTTATGCCTCGACGTATTATGATATATTAAACTTAATCCGAATTATTTTCCGGTTCGGGTCCTTAATTAATAGTAATACTGTAATAATAAATAATATTATTATTATTGATGATGGAATAAGTAATGACGGAGTAATTGAGATTGTACTTTATTATTATTAAAACATATAGTATGTGTAATAATAATATAATAAATGGAACAAAATAGAGTAGGTATCAAGAATTTTTTTTTTGTTGTTATTATGCCAAGAATTTGTGTAGATTAAGTGAGTAGATCGGAAAATTCTTTTATGTGACCACTTCTTTTTTTTTTATTTCTTTCATGTGACCAATTTTTTTTTTATTTCTTTTGCAGTGACCACTTATTTCTTTTATGTGACCACTTTTTTTTTTAAAAAAAAAACACAGTAAATAAATTGTGTGCCGTTTAATTTTTTAAAAAAAATGGAAAAATATTATAATATAAATAATGTAACTAAACTATTTATATATGTGTATAATATTTACACTATAACAAAATTACTACGCTTGGTCTTACGAATCGAAGTCGGGTCTCACAAAATATTTAAATTAAACTTCTCCACACGTGTTGAAGGAGAAGAAAGATAAAACAAATTAGGTTTTCTTTAGAAATAAATGTAATCATCCAAATAATTAAAGAAAAAGAAAATTACTTTTATTATTCTTTTTATCTTTATTTCAGGCTTTCAGCTGAACGAAACGAAAGGTCCCGTTATTTTCAAGATGTAAACAAATTTTAAATATATATTTTAAATATATTTACACAAAGAAAAGGGTATCTTGATAAACACCGATATAAATATTATGTTATACATATTGTAGTATTGAATATAAACGCGGAGGGCCATCGAAATGTCAAAATCATTGTTACACATCACATGATTAAGAAAAAATAGAAAAAATAAATAAGAGAAAATTATTGTTAGGAATATGTGGGATTTTAATGACCGATATTTTCATTCAATATTGAAATCATTATTAGTAGCATTAATTTTCATTGGTCACTGCAATATTCATAATGGCTGAACGGTGAATATTTGTCGGACTTCGACCGATATTTGTTTATTATTCAAACGGAGTGTAAGATTGGTTCCCAATAAAATAGGGTAACAATACTAAAACAATATCCCAAAAAAAAAAATTATTTTATTTTAATTGGTCATTGGTCACACACATAGTACAGTACATACATATGCATTCTGCCAGTGTTACGAGAAATGTTTTTCTTTTTATTATTTCGTTTAATTTAATATAAAAATCGAATAAAAATTTTTTGTAAAAGTTCACATATTTACTAATATTTGTTGGGAGTTTTTTCTAGATGTTTTTCATAAAGGAAGAAAAAAAAACGGGAATTTCCTTTCCAAAGAAAAATAAATAAATATTTGTCGACGAGTTGATCGTTCGAATTAATAAAAATAATATATATATATATCAGATATGTGTATATACTGTATATATATAAAATAAATACGGAATAAAACTTTTCTTATATTATTTTCGAGAAAAAATTTGAAACAGTCGAAATAAATAATAATAAATACTAAATCGTAAATTTGTAGTACAAATTATTTAGCCGCTTTATAATTTTGCCGATTATGAGATACGATTATTCGAGTTTTGCCATTAAACAGATTTTGCATAAATTACGGTTTTGAATTAAAACGATAAAACGATAGTATCATCCTCAATAAAAATTAATTCCGTTAAACAGTTGATTTGCGGATGGATTGTTGTTTATATTTTGCCTTGGCAAGTACCTAAAATAATTTATATACGAACGGATTGTACTTGCATGTCTTATTTTACGTTGAATTCTACGATTTTTGAGAGAACGGTTATATCGTGGCACATATGATGATGAATGAGTTTTGGTTGCATTGGTGAGATATTTTCTTTGTTGTTCATCTTTTCTTTGGTATAGAGAAGAACTAGAACTATAAAAACAGCAGAAGAAATGAGGAAATTAAAAAGAGAAATAAATCATTATCATTACAATAAAAAGTTCATTTTTTTAGTCTGAATCCAAGTTAAAGGATGAGGTTTTTTTTTCTGTATGCTTTGCTCATTTTTCCCCCTTAAAATGTTAATGCTAAATAGGATGTCGGTCACACAGGTAATTACCCCTTATGTCGTACCACCTCCCTTTAAAAGAAATATTTTCTACGAAAAAAAAAAAAAATTCTTTTCTTTTCTTTCTTTTTTTTTAAACTTACCATTCTAAACTTTTCGAAGAAACAAGTTTGGTTTCTTTTCTGATACAAAGTGATGAGGCCATACGTCTCCATAAAGCGTTCTTTATACGAATTAAATGCTTTTCTTCTGCGCGTAAAGCAGATTCTTCTTTCTGTAGTTCGTGTTCTTCACGTAATTTTTCTTTACAGATATCTAGTTGTTTGCAAGTTTCTTTATAAGAGGAGATAATATCGGTATCGGTCCAGTTACGAGTTTTACTGAGGCAGTCAAGGTGTTCCATTTTTTTCTTCCTAAAGAATTATATTTTTTTCAATCAATAAGTTTTTTTTAAAAATGTTTGTTAAATACAAAATTTGTTTTTTTTAATATAATTATTATTCGAATATATACCACGTAAAGAGGAAATACCTTTCAAAAAAAAAAAATAATAACTACTTAAAAAAAAAAAAATTGTTAAAGCAAAAAAAAAGAATTTTTTTTTTAAAAAAAAAAAAAAAAAAAAAAAATTTTTTTTTTTTTTTAATCCGCATCAATTAAATCCATTAAAAGTTTATCTTTTTTTTAAAAAAAAATTTTTTTTTTATACCCCTTAATATAATTTTTCGTCAATATACAGTATATCAATATATAATGCAACTATATATTGTAACAAAGAGTAAAAACTCCTTTTGTTCAGATAAGTTTGTTTACTACTATATACTATATTATAAGATAAGATAAAAAGCATGCCAGATTATGATACAATTACACAGCGTTCGCTCGATTATATTATTTGATAGACCGAAAGGAGAAATTATATAAAAGAAAAGAATTAAAAACGTCATATTTATTTATAGATTATATTCCATGTAATGTAGCACGTTCCCAAAAAATATAAAAATATTCAAATCTATAATTTAATTCGACGAGTTAACTTTTACAACTTGTCATACCCCGCTAAAACCCGTAAATATTCTCCGAATTAAGTACGGATTGACGAATTCTGAGTGATGCATCAATTTGCATCACGTATTGACTGAAATTTTTAAACCCTTTTAACCTTTTAAATAAGTAGGTAAATGCATAAAAAAAAAAAATTTTTAATATATGCATATATAAATATATTATATATATAAATGAAAATTTTTTTTCTTTTTATTAAAAAATATCCGATGCATCATATTAATTTACATACATTCTTTTCTTTTTATGTAATAATAAAATAATTCCGGATTTTTTTTTTTTATATTTAATACAGTATAATTATAATAATAATAACCCTTGAAATTAGTCAAATAATACTATAAATTCTTAACCCTCGTTAATCAATTTAAGTTTTTAAACAAAAACAATATTACCTGTGCTTTGTGAAACAATCACTTTTGAAAATTATCGTTATGTGTGTACATTCTATTATTATAAATGAAATATATATAATGTAAACTAACTAATAATTATTTTTTTTTTTAGTTGATAATTAAAAAATTTTTTTTGACTTATTAGTTACTAATTATAAATATATTTTTTGTCCATCCCTACTTACTAGGAATCGGGAAACGGGAAACTATTATAAGTCCGGAGCGAAAAAAAGATAGAATTAAAATTTGCGATTTCATAGGCTGAAGATCATGTGGCAGACGGAGAAACTCGTGACGAACATATTGCCAGCCCTTCGGAAAATTATACAATAGATTCCCCATAAAAATGGAAATTTTCATCTCGCTAACACGGATATCCGTGAATGTATAATTTTCACGGAATTTTTACGGAATACACGGAGAAATAATGGAAATATTCGGATAAAAATTTTTTATAGGGATTGTACAATAGTCTTATAAACAAAAAAAAATATTTAAAAAAAAAAAAATACCTACTTCATTTCGCCGAAATGCTATTTTACCACCAATCTAATTATTTCTAATTATTCCTTTCTCTATTTTTTTTTCAAATAGAACGGTAGAATAAATTTATATTATTGAAAATATTCCTTGCTTTCTTATTAATACTGTAAAAAGTTTAAAAAATTTTATGAAACGTGTTAATTTTATATTGACAAACCTTGTTTCTCTCAAATATAGCATTTAATGTTTTATTCTAGGAAACACTACTGATAAGATATTCGTGATCATAAAAATAATTATTATGAACAATGTCCATAAAGTTACTTGTTTCACGGAATTTCTCTTTAAAGTAAGACATCATAATTTCTTCCACATTAGCCTCTTCATAAAGTTCTTTTTCATCCATCCACCATAATATAATATCACTTAAATTAGAATATCCAATATCCATAAAATTTTTGATAAGTGAATCTACTACGATGATGATGTGAACATTCCCATCAGTAAGTTGATTAAATTTAAAATAATCAGTAAAAAAATCCCCTGCATCTATTTTCTCGCCTTTAAGTTTGGCTTTGGATATCCTCTTTAGTAAGAACGTCTTTAAGCTCGTCTCTACTGACATTAACCTTTCAAAGGTTCGTATCATTAGGATCATATTTATATTAAGTTTATTTTTTTCCTCAGGCCAGATATGTTCCTTTAATTTTGAAATTTTATATTCAATATTATTTACGAGGACATCATTGTCAAGAAACAAGCGAAGTCTGAATTATCTGACATCTACACAGATTTTCTGGAGACTAAACACCTTGAGAATGGCTTTCATGGTATATTCATACGTCATATATGTCTACAAGAGCGCCAGTGTCATGTCCTTTCCGTTCAGGCAGTGTTAATTTGCCAGAACATGTTCAATATTTTAATTATCAAGGAAATATTTCAAAAAACATTGAAAATATCCAGTTGAAAAAATTTGCAGATTTTATTAGTTCAATTATTGGGAATAATTAACAAAATAAATTAAAAGTTTGGTATTACGGAACAAATAGTGTTCATGTAACAGATTTTACAGTAACCAGTCATTTTGGACATGCTTTTGGCTTTAAACGAAGTTTATATATTGATGAGAATCTTAATTATTGTCTTCTTCGCGCATTGTTAAAGCAGGAAATTTAAGTGAAAACTGTGCGTTGATGATTTTTCGCATAAATGAAGAGAAGTTATGTCAAATTCAGAATTATTTAAATTAAGATGTCTTGAAGACCTTCAAGGCGACGCTGATGCTGATGCTGGTGATTCTACCTGAAATGAAATGATCATTAAGTAATTTCTCGTGTAATATATTTTCGAATTATTGTGTCCCATTTATATTGTAAACTAACATTTATTGCTACTATTTTTATTTTGGAAAAAAATTTTGTGGTAATTTTCTCGTACTGCGGTTTTAAATGGAATTCTAAATTCTAAACAGTACTATTTGAAAAAAAAAAAAAATAGAAATGGATTTTGTAATCAGTTTGTTGAACTTCTCTTAACATTTCGGCACTTGAGATTAAGGCGCAGAAGGAGTGAGGCGCAGCTAATAAATTTTCGCAGCCGGGTAATGGCATTTCGATGAAATGGAGTAAGTAAATTTTCATGTCGGTAAAATGAAAGTCAGCAAATGGCGTCGGTTAATTTCATGTCGATGAAATGCTGTCTGTAAATTTTGTACCGTAGAAAATCCATGTATCTGTTGTATAAATGTGTACATATTTACTATATGCTTTATAAGGTCGTACAATAATTTAAAATATCATTTATTCCATATTTTACCAAAGAAGATTTATAAATTGTAACCAAATTGAATAAACAAATCACCTTTTTTATATCCTCATATAACCACATTAAAAAAAAGTATAAAGTTGTACGTAAAATAAACAAATAAATAATAAGTATTCCTTTAAGAAACTCCTCTTTTTAGTTTTTTGAACTATCCTTAAATTATATAAATTATACGAATTATATAAATTATCATTCAGGGACCAAATTAAGAATGGTATCTTCAATAAATGTTACCATTCTATTATGTAAACATGTCAAATGCGTCAAATTTAAAAGTAAAAATTAACTTGTATAATTTTTCGTCATTGATATTTTTATCCATATAGCGTAATAATTAAATGTTTATGCATAACATACATTATATATATATATATATATATATATATAATATGTATATACTGCGCCGACCGCTTTAATTGGCCAAATTTTAAAATATATGTTCAAAGCTAAATATTAATTAAAAATTCCTACTAAATAAATATCATCCGTCGGTTACAAAAAAAAAAAAAAATAATGTGCATGAATGAATGAATGAATGAAAAATGGTTAAACTATAATATTCATTATTCAATTACTTTTTATATTCTTTATTATTTTTTTTCTTAAAAAAAAGAGATTTGTACAATATTAAAATGTTGTATAATAATAATACTTATTCTTTTATTTTATTTATAACAAAACTGTAATGATATGAAGCGAGGCGGGATAAAAATTTTTTCAGCGGCACTTAATTATTATCGATGTAATTGTACGTGACATATTATTACATAACATCATATTCAATATTGTTCTTTATTATTCCCATTCTTTTTTCGATTATATTGTTGGCAATAGATATCTGTCATATTGCATATTACATTTCCAGAAAGAATCCCAAGAGATAAAGAGATACCCATATAGAAATAAAATTTCTAGTGTATTATTTAGATTTAAAGTTGAGGGTGCAGTCTTTTTTGAGCAAGTACAACAAATAATTAATCGAAAATTTCGCTAATAGCCGTTATCGTGCATATTGTTTACATATGTTCTTAATCTTCGGATTTACGGCCAATGATTACAAAACTGAATCTCTTCGGTTGAGGAACGGATAAATTTACGTATGAATATCATTTGGTCAAATGATATTTATTTATTATTGTGGCGTTTCGTCTTTATAACTAAAAAGATCATGTTTTTTTAAAAAAAAAAAATATTTATTATTATTATTATTATTATTATTTACACCTTGTTTGTATTTTCATATAATTATACAGTATAATTAAAACTTAATTCATGATCATGCAGATCACTATAAATAGACGAATATCCAAATTGACAATTTTCAATAACTATTTATTTGTACAAATAATAAATCCCGATTCGGAGTGGTTACAAAATATTACATATCATATTTCTCCGGCAACATTCTTTTTTTTTTTTAAAAAAAACCATTTTTTTTTACGCATATGATACCATCTATGTGGCGTAAATATGTGTGTGTAACATTATGATAATTTTCGTACCTACTTTTGTCAACTCCATTAAAGTATTAATTCATTATTATCATTTTTTTATAATCCATGCTTTTTTTTCGATTTCCTTTTAAGTTTGTTATACAACTATTATTGAACTATTACAATTTCATTAGGTTAGATTTTTTTTTGTGTTTGCTAAAAGAATTTCTTTTCGGGATTCTTTCACAAAAGGAATCAAATTCCAATCAAAAGTATTTTTTTTTTTTTTTTTT